TAAATGGGATTTTTTTTTTGCATGATTATGCTTATTTGTTATAAGGGTTTTCTCTTGTTTCAGTAAATTGTGGGAGGAAAGATAGTTGGGGGAAGGTTAGTAATCATGATGTCAATAAAAAGAGTCATTTTTTTAAAATTGCATGTTCAGAAGGAAGCACAAACAGGACAGTTTTGAAGGTAATTTGTGTTCATTATATAATTTTTTAAAACCCAAGCAGTATGAAGTGGTTTTCACATCCCATTTTTGTGTTCTTTGTATATGGAAATGCTTTCTATGGTGTTTAAGTTCAGAGTTTTTTAAAAATTAAATTTAAAAAAGAAAAAGGAAATTTCTAACCCCTGTGACTTCAGCGTATGGGTGCCTGGATAGCTCAAGTACTAAATCCAGTGATTCTAATACCTAGTATTCACTAGGTATACATGCCTTAGAAAGTGTGATGATAGCTGATGTCCTGCAGCCCTAAAACAGAAACCCAAGATTCCAAGCAGCTGGAGAGTTGAGTTAAAAGCAAATAAAACTAACATAGTTCTCTGCTGGAATCTTTCCTCTGCGTGTATCCTATTCTCCAATTTCTGGGTATTTGTAAACATGGTATTACTTCCCTTACTTGATTAAATTCCTTTGGTCAAAGGGACATCTTTGTCTTTATATTTCAAGTGCTGGGCGTGTACCCTATAAATGAGACTGGTTATAAATCCTTATAGACTTCTCGAAGAGTCAATTAGAATGGCATGTTGTCATGTAGTTAGAGTTAGATTCTTAGGAGGTTAGTGTGCCAAACCTAAGAGGCATGGAAGAAGCAGTGCCAAAAAGGGAGAGGAGAAAGGAAGACATGAATGAAGAGAGCTCTGCAAAGCAGTAGTGGTAGACATAGACAGTAGATGCTGTGAAAGAGCCGCTAAGAAGCCAAATGACAGCCAAAAGCATTGGCAAACAAGACGGTCATCAAAGTGGGGGAGGAGGAACATGAAACACAGGACAGAACAGATGAGCTGTATGGTGACATTGCATAAAGAAAGCTGATGTCATGGACTTTTTCCAATAAAATAAAGACATGAGTCTTGGAGTTGGAAAATGCTCCATCCCATGTACCACATTTTCCTGTCCAAAACCTCAGAAGATAATAGCAAGAAGGAGGAGGCTGACACCTATTTGTACAAAAATACTCATAGAATTATGCATGATAGAAAAAATGGAAGGAACTTATGTCTTCTGTGACTGAGGGAATGGCTGAGCAAACTGTTTTAGCAAAATGATGGATTACTAATAAACCACCTAAAAGAAATTTTACCGCAAAAGAAACATGGGCCCATGAAGTAATGCAGAGGAAAGAACTGAAAGTAAGGACAACACACACCTTGACTATAATTACATGAGAAACTCCATCATTACAATAAATACAAAGAAAAAGAGATCAGAAGATGTCAAGGGAATGAACTGAAAAAAGTAAATCCCATGTTAAACTAAAAAAAGATGACAATTTCATATATATGCTCATTTTTTAAAAGTTTCATATTTAATATTTTTGTCGATTGCTACTCAATTTGAGATGAGGAAAATGAAATTCAGGAAAATTTTTCCTTAACGACTAACATTGCAATGATTTGGTAAAAAATAAAATCCTCCATCAGGCACCAGGCATCATAGCACTGACTAATGCAACTCTACTGCCATCTAATGGTAGCTCTGAATGTGATGGCCCTTTCCATCCCATCTAGCTGTGCATCCAGGGAATCTTCCCATGTGCCTTGCCCAAGCCCTGCCTCTTCCCTCCTGCATGAGCAGCTACTAGAAAGCAGAGCCAGGAACCGTGCCACCAAATCCTCAGGAAAAGAATTAATTCAGTTTTGGAATTTTCTTGCTTGATGAATGCGTACAAATTGTCTGAAACAGACAAAGGAGGGTTGAACACAGAGTTTGGTGTGGAAATACATCAAAGTCAACATAGGAAGCAGGCAGGTGTAAGAGCAGAGGTGGTAAGAAAGAAGAGGGTGGAGATCCTGAATGAAGGATTAAGGAACTGGATGAGAGTGGGGGCCGGGGGTGGAAAGAGCTATACGGGAGGGGTCTTTGGAGAGACGATTTCAGAGAATCCTGGGTAATCTCACTTGATGTAGCGAATCAAGCAGAACTAGAACAATTTATACAACGGTAACATTGTAAAGAAAAACTTTGAAAGATTTAATAACTCATCACTGTAACGACCAACCATCTCTTCAGAGGGCCTAGAAGGAAAACTATTACCCACCTTCTGACAGAGACATAACGAACCCAAGTTGTAGAAAAGGACACATATTTTGTGACAAGGCCACTCTATGGAATTACTTTGCTTTACTATGCTTGTTTTTATAAGTGTTTTTTTTCTCTCTAGGTTTTTAATTGGGTGGAGGATTGTTGGGGGAGAAGGGTTGGAAATAGCAATTCTCCCCAAAAGAAAGGTACTGAAACATCTTTTTAAAATGCACGGAAGTTCAGAAGGAAATAGACAAGTGGGATAGTTTTGAAAATAACACATGGAATTTATTGTGTGTGTGTGCAAACACACATATGCATCTACGTATTTATGTATTTAAAAAGCAAGTGGCAAGGGCAGCTAGGTGGTGTAGTGGATAGAGCACTGGCCCTGGAGTCAGGAGTACCTGAGTTCAAATCCAGCCTCACTCAACAGTTACTAGCTGTGTGACCCTGGGCAAGTCACTTAACCCCAATTGCCTCATCAAATAAAAAATAAATAAAAACCAAGTGGCACGAAAGAGATTCACTTCACATACTTTCTGTCATAGGTATTTAAACTCAGAATACAAAAATAAATTCTGCTGAATGTTTTAGATTATCTAAATCTTATTGGTTCTTATCATTCAACATATTAGCTGTCCTCAGTCAATAAATATTAAGCACCTGCCAAGTGCTAAATCCTGGGGCTACAAATACAAAAGACAGTCCCTGACCTCACGGAGCTTACAATCGAATGGAAGACAACAAACAAAAGGAAGCTGAAAAGCGTTGGTGGAAAGGTGGCAGAAGCACCGTTATGTGAGGATATGATGCAATCCAACAATAGTGTAGATGGTGGGCTGTGGAGGACTGTGCTGAGCCGCTGTCAAAAAGAGGCACTGGGGTTCATGGCCCTGCCTTGCCTCCAGCTGCCAAGGAGGGGAGTGAGCAGGAGGGGCACAGAGGATACTAGTAAGACATGAGGACCAGGCAGATTCCGTCTCGCAGGAGAATGAGGTTTCCCAATGATGCCTTTCCTGGGGAACGATGACATGATGGAGAAGTTCCATAGTGGAGCTGGTGAGATACGGGGAGAAAATTTGTGTTACCTGAAAATTGGACAAGCATCTGCCTGAATCCAAGTCCCTGATAAAAATACGGAAAGTATCGCAGGTCCCTGAAGTGCTCTCCTTTAGGCCTTCCAATTTGATACAAAATCTTTAATGACCATTTTGGGGGGGCTGACCTAACAGTTTTTCAATCTGGCCAGCCGTATTATTCTCTAATCGACAGTATTTTTTCCACAAGAATAACACAAGACTTCATAAAATATTTTGCTAATACCTAGGTGAAGTCTATATACGTTCCCAATCTCTATGAGGTTAAGTATTTTGCTGATCTATTTTGTTCTTATACCATTTATTTCCAAATATATCCCTCCACTCCCTCTAGAAGGCCATCCTTCTTTTAAAAAAACAAAAAGATGGGGGAGAGGGCAACAGTAATTTAGGGAATCTAACGATTATGTCAAGAAAGTCTGATAGTATATGCAACGTTCTATGTCCACAATCCTCCCCTTGTGAGAAGGAAGTGCATTTTCTCATTCTCCAGGATGAATTCACTATAACATATGACATATACATTACAATATGTAATATAACATTTAGTTTTGTTATTTTTTTCACATACATCAGTGTAGCCATCTTATATATATTGTTTTCCAGGTTCTGCCTCCATCACCCTGAACAATGTCCTGTTAAGTCTGTGTTTCTCCCCATTGCTTCTGGTTCTATCCTCAGGGGTCAAATGGAACAAGGCTAATCCTGCCTTCACATGAAAAACCTTTAAATACTTGAAGACAGATTAATTTTTCCCATGAATCTCTTCATCATTAGGTTCCATATGACCAGTTTCCTCAAATGATAAACATCTGGATTCAAAGCTCCACCATTCTGGCTTCCCGCCTTATTAATATTCAAGCTTATTAATATCCTTCTTATATTGTCCAGAAATGACCACAATAATTGCAGAAGCCTGATGAGGGAAGAGTACAGGGTAACTTACTTCCCAATTCCTGAAAGTTATGCTCCTCAATATAGGCCACGATTGCACCTGGGTTTTTTCTGGCTGCCATATTACAATCCAAGGGCAGCAAGGTGGGGCAGGATAGTGTGCTGAGCCTGTAGCCAGGAAGACCTGAGTTCTAATATGGCCTCAATCATTTACTAGCTGTGTAACCCTGGGCAAGCCACTTAACACTATTTACCTCAGTTTCCTCATCTGTAAAATCAGCTGGAGAAGAAAATGGCAAACCATGCCAGTATCTTTGCCAATAAAACCACAAATGGGGTCACATTCAGATACGACCAATTAAACAACAAAATTTACAATCATGGCTCATACCGAGCTTGCAGATCACAAAACTCCCACTTTTTTTTCACAACTGCTGTCTAACCCTCTGTCTTCTAACTTTTGGAATTTTCTTAATACTCTAGCATCCAACTTTTTATTTCCCCACCAAATTTCATCTTATTAGATTTAGCCCAAATGCTCTAATCTCTAATCTTTTGCCTCCTCATTCTGGCATCCAGTGTATTAACGATCCCTCTAAGCCTTGTTTTATGTGCAAATTTGCTGAACATGCCACCTGTGCCCTTTAATGAGACATTGGTAAAAATGTTAACTTCAACAGGGTCAAAAAAGATTCCTTAGTTTTTTTTAGAGGACCGCCTCCCCAAGACATGTAAAACATGCGATCATTAGCAATTATTTGTTTTATTACATTCAAAATATTTCAATCCCTCTAATAAGGTCAGTCTACAGACTTCCTCATGTTCATTACATCAAAAAAGTTAATAGCATGATTTCTTAGATGGGAAATAAGATTTGCTGACAGGTAAATACAATTCAAAAGGTTCCACTCCTGAGTTGGTTAAAGGCTTTCCTACATTAATTACATACAAAGAATCTTCTCTAGTATGGGTTCTCTGGCACTTAATAAGATTTTCAGATATCCCCTTTAGTGATATTTGTCCCAAATCCATTATACTGAGGGTTTCCCACTAATGTACATTCTCTGATGATTTTGATATTTCCCTCTTCACTGAAGCCTTTTCCAAATTCAGAGAAATGCAAAGGGTTTCTCTCCAAGTTCTGTGATTAATACGGTGGTTCCTTCTGCAGAAGGCTTCCACACACTCATTACAAAGGACTTATCTGCACTGAGTTCTCTAATAACTTCTGAGTACTTTATTCACAGACTTTCTTATGTTAACTGTACAGAAAAGGTTTTTCCCCCAGCATCAGTTTGCTGATAAGAAATAAAATTTGTATTATACTTGAAACCTTTCCTACATTCATCATATTCAAAGGATTTCTCTTTAGCATGAGTTCTCTGACGGTTTTTGAGAACTACACTCTCAATGGAAGCTTTCCCACATTCCCTATATGCAAAGGGTTTCTCTCTAGTATGAGTTCTCTGATGGGTAATAAGATTCCCCCTTTGGCTGAAACCCTTCCCACATTCATGACATGCAAAAGGTTTCTCTCCAGTGTGAATTCTCTGATGGTTAATAAGGTGTTCCCTTCTGCTGAAGCCTTTTCCACATTCATTACATTCAAAGGGTTTCTCGCCAGTATGACTTCTCTGGTGAATTTTGAGTAACTCATTTTCACTGAAGGCTTTACCACATTCACTACATGAAAAGAGTTTCTCTCCACTATGGGTTCTCTGATGATTAATAAGATGTCCTCTATGGCGGAAGGCTTTCCCACATTTATTGCATTCAAAGGGTTTCTCTCCAGTATGCATTCTCTGATGGCTTTTTAATACTTCACTTTCACTGAAGGCTTTCCCACATTCATCACATGCAAAGGGTTTCTCCCCAATATAAGTTCTTTGATGGATAATAAGGCTTGACTTATGCCTAAAGGCTTTCCCACATTCACTACATGCAAAAGGCTTCTCCCCAGTATGAATTCTCTGATGGGTTTTGAGTACTTCACTCTGGCTGAAGGTTTTCCCACATTCATTACACACAAAAGGTTTCTCTCCAGTATGAGTTCTCTGGTGGGTAATAACATGTGACTGGTGCCTAAAGGCTTTCCCACATTCATTACATGCAAAAGGCTTCTCTCCAGTATGAGTTCTTTGATGTCTAGTAAGATGTTCCCTCCTGCTGAAAGCTTTCCCACATTCACTACAAGCAAAAGGTTTCTCCCCAGTATGAGTTCTCTGATGAGTAATCAGGTTTGTCCTATTTCGGAAACCTTTCCCACATTCATTACATGCAAAAGGTTTCTCTCCAGTATGTGTTCTCTGATGGGTAATAAGATGTCCCCTCTGGCTAAATGCTTTTCCACATTCGTTACACTCAAAGGGTTTCTCTCCAGTATGAATTCTCTGATGGCTTTTGAGTACTACACTATCACCAAAGGATTTTCCACATTCATTACATGCAAAAGGTTTCTCTCCAGTGTGAGTTCTCTCATGCCTCTTGAGTACTACATTCTCACTGAAGGATTTCCCACATTCATTACATTCAAAGGGTTTCTCCCCAGTATGAGTTCTCTGATGGGTAATAAGGCTGGAATTGTACCTAAATGCTTTCCCACACTCATTACATGCAAAGAGTTTCTCTCCTGTATCAATTTGTTGATGGTTTTTGAGCATTCCACTTTGACTGAAGGCTTTTCCACATTCATTCAAGGGTTTCTTTCTTGTATGAGTTCTCTGATGGGTAAAAAGGTTTGACCAATGCTTAAAGGTTTTCCCACATGCAATACATACAAAAGGTATCTCGGCAGTATGAGTTCCCTTGTGTCTGACAAGGTGATTCCTCCTGCTGAAGGCTTTTCCACATTCATTAAAATCAAAGAGTTTCTTCTCAATGTGAGTTTTCAGGTGGCAAATAAGATTTGCCTTCCAAGTAAAGTCTCTCTTAAAATCATTATATGCAAAGGATTTCTTTCTAATATGAATCCTTTGTTTAGCTGGGCTTTGTCTGGAGCTGAGGGCTTTCTCATATTCATTGTATTTAATATGTGCTAACTTACCTCCAGTATGTATTCCATGAAATTTAACTAGGTCTGAGTGGTAACTGAAGGGCTTTCTGCATGCATTATACTTAGAAAGGTTCTTCCCTATGGAAAGTGTATTATGTGTAATTAGATCAGGATAATTCTGGAAGCTCATTCCATGTGTGTTACATTGATGGAGACATTTTCCCATCGTCTCTCTGCACAGTGAAATCAAGACTGACCTCAGACTAAAATTTCTCCCAAATGTAGAACACTGAGGTAGGATCATTTTATTAAAAGTTGTTCTGGGAGTAACTGTTACTTGTCTTGGTTGTCTCTCCTGCTTGTACTTTTGTTTCTCCATAATGACACCACATTCCCTAGCTTCTTTCATCTTGGAATGCCTGACTACTATCTCGTTTGGCAGCTTTTTCTTGAATGATGCTCTCATGCAAATGCCCTGCATCAGATTTGAGTCCCTGCTTTCAAACCTGTTCACATGAAGGGAATCTGAAAGAAATAACAGACAAAGGTCACTAGTTATTTTTCGTTTTGACAGAGGAAAGGAATCTACTTTAGAATAAATTCTAGTTTCTAATTCTCTACCAAGGAGAATGGTGCTCAAGCTGGACCAAGCAGGAAACCCCCCCCCCACACACATAAAAAAACATAGTTTGAAGAAACTGAAATCAAAGGAGGGAGGAGATAGTAACATGTGCCTAGGTGCCCAGGACTAAATGAATTCTATTTTAGAGAAATGAAAGCACTTTTAGATGTCATTAAAAACAACACAGGGAAAAACAAAATTACTTTCTACAGAACAGAAGAGTGGAAAACCACACAGAAATGAGAAAAACTAGCTCAGAAAATTCTTCAACTAGAAATTTATTTAACTTGGAATCTATACAAATAAAATTGACAGATCTCTGGAGAACCTAAGAATTAATGGGTTCTCCCAAAATTGCTAAAAAAAAAAAAAAAAGAACCAATATAGTTTAGTGATTTCTTTTAATTTCAAAAAAATATTGAAAAAAGATAGATTCAACAGAAAATCTACTGACTACCAAATGGGGTGAATATCAAATTCAAATCACAGAAATACATTATTGTCCATCTGCAATAAAGGGCAAGATGATTTCAAAAGCAGCCAAGAAGAAAGGAATACATAGTAAATTTCAACTTGATTTGTAAAAGGTTTTCTATAAATATAAAATTATAAAAGCTAAAATTTGATATACTGAAAATTAAAAGATTTGTCACAACAAAAATCTGTGATAAGGAAAAACTGAGGTACAAAGTTCAAGTATGATCAATTTATTGGTATGACTAGCAAACACCAATAAACTGGTTCCAAGACCCCTCAGTAGTCAAGGATACACATGACAGTCAGAACAACTCTTCTATAGCATTTACAGACATATTTCACTCCTGATTGGTTGGTGCTGTTTACATCAGCTCCTCACCAGGTGGACCAACATCCCTAACTAACATCCTTTGGAAAGTCCCATTATAGGCAAACATCCTGATTGACTCATCTCTCTCCATGGTCAGCAAGAGCTCACAGATTTGAACCTTTGTGGCTGGACTTCAGTCCACAGGAATAGAGGAGTTAAACTCTTACAAATTTTATTAACAGGCCTTATACAATCAAGTCTGAATTTGATTCATAAATATTGATTTGCTACACCGATTAGATATAATTCTCAATCAATAATCATGTACTATCAATTTTCAAATTTCACAATAGGTAACTGAAGTTACAGGCTTAAGAGAGCTCAAACTCACCTAATGAGGGGGCCACCCAATACATAGTGGATTGATCATTAATTCGTAAACTGACTAAGCCTTATTAAAACAATACAAAACAAAGCAGGGTATCAATTTTCAATTTTCACAGATTAGAGGGTCATTTTCACTGAAATAGGGCCTCATTTTAAAAATTTTTCAATAACTTCAATGAAATAACATTCACAGCCAGTGTAATTTGCAAATAACGCAAAGCATGGAGGGATAGCTAACAAAACAGACGAGTTAGAATCCAAAGAGATTCTAAAAGGGTAAATCAATGGGTTAGAAACTTATAAAAATATAATAGTGATAAGTATAAAGTCCTGTATTTCAATTCAGAAACATCTCAGCAAAGATAAAATATAGGAGGGATGTCTGCATTGCAGTTCATCTGAAAAAGGTCCAGTAATTTTAGCTCAACTTAAGTAAAGTACTTACACACAGCAGCCAATAAAGCTAACATTATCTTAGGTTAAAAGAGAGTCAGAGTACAGAACGCAAAAATTCAATCTTGCCCAGGTCACACACATCTGGAGGACTGTGTTTTATTCTTAGTATAACAGAGTTATTGATAAGCTGAAGAACATCCAAAGACGGGCAACCAGAATGGTGAATGGCTCTGGATGCCCATTCAGAGTTCAGCTGAAGCCACCGGGAATATGACCTAGAGAAAGCTCCCTCTCCCTCTTCCTCCCTCCTCCCATGTAGGGAATTCCCAAGAGAAGTTAAGGATCTTGCCCCAGGCCAATCATTTGAAGGGATCTCACATGGAGGAGGTATCATACTTGACCTGCTGAGTCCCAAAAGACAGAACTGGGAGATTTAAGAAGCAAATTTGGGTTAATGCACTTCCTAATAATTAGAGCTTTCTCAAAGTCAAACAAGCTGCCTTAGGAAGTAGTGGCTTTCCTGTCACTGAAAGTCCTCAAGTACAAGTGGCATGGTCACTTCCCACTTACATTGCAGAAGGTATTCTTATCAGATATGGATTGTACTAGATAGCACTAAGGTTCCATTCAACTCTGAACTTCTGTGATTCTGTGACACCTAAAGAAATAAATCTTTTTCAAAAATGGAAAGGTGATATACTACTATCTTTTCAAGAAAACGAAGTCATCATGGAAACATTGACTATAGAAAAATGAAAAATACATGTGTGAAAGAAGAAAATAATTCAATTCATTAAAAAATTGAAAGCCAATTAAAAATAGTATATCTGCAGAGAGAAAAAACCAAAAACCAGGCTATGTTTTGTTGGGGGTGGGGGTTGGAGGGTGACTAAACAACTTTGAAAGACTTCTTTCAATATTTTGATAAGTATTTCAAAATAATTTATTTCCTTTGTAATCCTATATATTTATGGCATTTAAAAACATCATAGTGGGAATGGGCTTATAGGCTTCACTAGACTACCAAAGGGATCCATGACATCAAAAAATGAGAACCACTGTGGTGAAAAATAAAACCTCAAAGATGTAAGACCTCAGATCAAAGCGATGACCACCACAACTCCAGCAGACTGATGAGGACTACTAACAGAGAAGTGACTGGCTGAGGCACATTTTTTGATGTGGCCAGTGTAGACTGGTTTTGGCTCACCACGCTTATTGATTTGTTTTCTTCTTTGCATTTGGAGCAGGCAAAGGGATCAGTGGTAGTGGTAGCCAAAGAAAAAAGCAATAGGGGTCACTGCAGCATCTAAAAGAAAATGGACAAAAGAGAACAGAAGTCCAAAAGGAGTCAAAGACAAGAAAGATAACTGTAGTTTGTTATGTTTTTAATATATCTTTTAAGAAGCAGCGAGGTGGTGCAGTGGATAAAGCTCTGGGCCTGGAATCAGGAAGACCTGAGTTCCAATCTAACCTTGGACACTTACTAGCAGTGTGACCCTGGCCAAGTCATTTAACCTTTATTTGCCTCAGTTTCCTCATTTGTAAAATGGAGATAATAATAACAACTACCTCCCAGGGTTGTTGTGAGGTTCAAATGTGATAATAATAGGGGGGCAGCTAGGTGGCACAGTGGATAGAGCACCAGCCCTGGAGTCAGAAGGACCTGAGTTCAAATCTGGCCTCAGACGAAACATATGACACTTATTAGCTGTGTGACCCTGGGCAAGTCACTTAACCCCAGTTGCCTAAAAAATAAATAAACAAATAAATAAAATTAAATGAAATGTGATAATAATCATGAGGCACTTAGCACAGTGCCTAGTACATACTAAGCTCTATACAAATGACAGTTATTATTATTGCTGTTGTTATTGTTAAAGCAAATTGTACGAGGGAGAGATTTGTGGTTTCATATACAAACATCTATTTGTGTTCTACTTTGCAGATGGGAATGCTTTCTCTTTTTTTTGGCATTTAAGTGTAGAATAAACCAAATGTATTAAAAAATAGAAAATGAAGGTAAAGTAAAAGGTTCAGAATATACCTTTTCAGACAGGACCAACATGTGTTTTAATTGAGTACAATTATGTGTTAAACAAAAAAAAGGAGATTTTTTGGGGGGGGGTGGGGCAAGAATAGCAGGGGCGGGGTAGGGCATGAGACAGTGATGCCCAAAGAAAGAGTAAAAGAAAAAACTGTGGTAATAAAGAACTAAAAGAATGCAAAGGACACAGAAGGAGGTTCAGGAGACACAAGCAGAAGAATTCTGAAACTAATGTGCTACATTTATTTTATACTTTTTTAAAAAAAGCTGAACATATTGGAGATTTGGAGTTTCATATTCTGTTCTTTACATATGGATGCATTCATGTTTATTGATATTTGTGAAATTCAGAATAAAAAATAAATTTAAAAGAAAAAAATTAAGGTGAGCAAAAACAAGATATGAGTAAAGATTTCAAAAACATTTTGAAAGGAACACAAATTAGCAATAGCCACAAGAAGATTGTTCAAATGCTCCAATAATTACAAAAATTCAAATGAAAACATCTTAAAGATACAGCATAAAATCCCTTGAATTCACAGAATTACAGAATGTGATGCCAGTGGGACTGTGGAAATGTAGGCATGATATTATCCAACTGGTAGAACTACAAAATGGTGCAGTCTTTTTCGGAAAGCAAGAAAGCCATAAATAATAAGAGAAAAACCCACCAGTCATATTGTGGGACTCAGTGACGCCACTACAAGAGTAAGACCACAGTGGCAAAGAATTGGAAATTGAGGGATGTCCATCCATTGGGGAATGGCTGAACACGCTGTGGTATATGAATGGAATGGAATACTATTCTGCTCTAAGAAATGATGAACAGGCTGACTTCAGAAAAACCTGGAAAGACTTGTATGGTCTGACGCTGAGTGAAGTGAGCAGAACCAAGAGAACGTTGTACACAATAACGGCCACGTTGTGCGATGACTAATATTGATAAACTTAACCCTTCCTGGCAATACAAGGATCTAAGACATCTCCAGAGGCCTGTGATGGAAAATGCTATCCACACCCAAGGAAAGAACTATGGAGTTTGAATGCAGATAGAAGCATACTATTTGCTATTTTTTTTTCTTCTGTTGTGTTTTGTTTCCTCCTTCTGGTGGTTCCTCCTATTGGTTCTAATTCTTCCTTACAACATGACTAATGTGAAAATATGTTTAATAGGAATGTATGTGTATAGCCTGTATCAGATTGTGTGCTGTCTTGGAGACAGAGGTGGGGAGAAAGGAGGAGAAAAATTTAAAACTCAAAAGCTTATGGGAGTGATTGTTGGTAATTCAAAATAAATTAATTAAATAAAAAAAAAAGAAAAAAGAGTAAGACCACAGAACAGATCAAGGCAGAAGCTGCTTGCATGACTCACCCGGACAAAGGCCTCTGTGAACTTCTCCCTCGGACCTCCATGGTGTTTCTCTTCCCTCCAACAGGAAGATCACATCCAGCATACAAACAGGAATTCCTAAACAGCGGGAGGTAAATGAGAAACTGACAGGGATAGAAAAGTGTCTGGGAATTCCATTCTCTTCATGGAAAAGCAGGCAGTAAAGAAAGCCCAATGGGTGGGACAAAGGCTTTTGGAGCATATGCTTTTGTGTTGGGTATTCTCAGGGACAAAGATGGGTCACAATACCAGGTCCAAGAACCTGTCCACCTGTACTGTCCACGGAGTAGACAAGCACTACGGCTTGCCATCCAAATGCATGTTATCCTCTATCCACTTGTTTTTCCCTCTGTGAACGCAGAGGCCAAACCATTTAGAGTGCTTGCTGACCTCGTCCAGAGTGCTCTAGACGTTCTAGAGCTTGATGCATTCCACGGGGTTATCCACTGAGGGAGGACCCCGCCACCCGCTATCACAGTGGTGAACACCTGTGGAAATTGCCAAGTTCTTTTTATGATCCCCAAAGTAGACTCATTCTTTTTAATACGAACCAGCATTGTGCTACCAGGTGGAAAGAACTAAACGTGGATATCACATAGAGGGCAACAAAGAGGCTAATTAACAGAAGGTCTGAACAAGCTGTGACACATGGCCAATGACGAAGTCACAGACCAGGAATAAAGCACGTCCCAAGGAAATGCATAAGAAGGGCCAGTCAGGCACTGAGGGCGCTAGGTGACAGACGGACGGCCCAAGTATCTACTCATAACATCAAGGAAAGGGAGGGTGGCCTCCAGCACATTGGGAGGAGACCCACACAGCAAACATATGGGAGGGCGTGGTCAAGCCAGGATGGTGTATGATCTGCATCACTGGAGAGACCTTACAAAGCTTCGACCCAACTTGAGGATGGAACTATGCTCAGAAAGAAAATTAGTTCATGGATCCACTTTTTGCTAAGAAATTAAGACCTTTTCACAGATCTCAGCTGAGATTCAGAGATGCAATCAATTGACAGGTGCTCAATAAGCATCTATTATGCACCAGGCACTAAAACAGGCAATGCTGATATAAAGACAAGAACATGAGAATCGATGCCAATGGAGGAAAACAACATATATGTATGTGAGTAAAAAGAAAATGTTGAAAGAAAAACAAGGTAATTTTGGGACCGAGGCACTGGTAGCAGTGGGGATGAGGACAGGCTTCACTGAGGAGGTCACACAAAGGTATGGAGAGAGACAAGGTGGTATGTACTGTGGGAGGACAGGAAGTAAGCCAAGTACACAGTAGGTGCTTCATAAATGCTTACTGACCAACTGACCAACTGGACCCTAAAGTGGCCGAAGTAGGAACGATATGCAGTAAGCCCAGACAGGATGTTTGGAGTTGGTTGGAAAAGGCTTTAGGTACCACAGAATCCCCAGAGCTCTCTGAGCCACAAGAGTTACGTGGTCTGACCTATGAACTTTAACCCAACTTGAAACTGTCAAAAATGTAATCAAAAAGTTCTTTACTACTTACTATAGACAGAAGAGGGGCAATGAGGCCGTGCAGCGGACAGAGCACCAGGCCTGGAGTCAGGGAGATGTGAGTTCAAACCCAGTCTCAGACACTTACAAGCTGTGTGACCCTGGGCAACTCACTTAACCTGTCTGCCTCATTTCCTCGTCTGTAAAAGGGGGACACACTGGAGAGAGAAATGGCAAGGCACTCCAGTATCTTTGCCAAGAAAACCCCACGCATGGACAAAGTCCATGGGGTCACACAGAGTCAGACTGAACGACTGAACAACACAGACAGAGGATGCGCTGGGAGAGATACCAAGTTCAGCTAAAACACGGTCCCTGTTTGCCTCACAGGCTTTCACTATGGGGAGAGTGAAAACCACACTAAGCAAAGCTGTAGGAAAAGCACTCCCAGGGGAAGAGGGGAGGGAAGACTTGCTGGAGGAAGCAGGGTCATCATTCTCCTGGTAATTCAGCAAGAATCATTGACCTAAGTGTCCATGAAGTAGGGAAGCTACAGCCTGAGAGCCAGCACAAGGGAGCTACGGGATTTTATCTGTACAATTTCACCTGGGTCTTCAGAACAAAACACTACCTGTTGGACCTAAAAGATCTGGGACTCTTCCCACATAACCACCTTATATATTCTTGCACAATAAGCCAACCCTCAGCTGAGCTGCTGAGACCTCTCATGACCTGCATCAAAGAAAGTGCACAGACCCTCGTGGATGGATTCCACGACACAAGGACAGACGCGCTTACCCAGAAAGACCAGGCTCTCATAGGTCTCCCACATCACGTCCCTGTAGAGGGCCCTCTGGGCAGGATCCAGACGCCTCCACTCCTCCCCGGTGAAGTCCACGGCCACGTCCCTGAAGGTCACTGATTCCTGAGTCAAACACATTCCTGCTTAACCAAAGATGATTCTTCCAAATATTTCTTGATTTCTTACGTGCCTCAATTTGTACTAGACTCAGTAGCACATACATAGTTTCCCTGGAGCGCTCAAGTTCATCTTGACAAAAATCTCTCTCCAAGTGGCCCCAAGAGCAGCAACCATTTTGCTCCTAAAGCCCCAAACCAAAGAACAGAACCAACCTCCATTCAATATCAATAGGAATATTGGCAATCATGCTCCAAATACAATTTCTAGCATTATAGCAATCGTTCTCTATTACTAATCAACTTACTCTGTCCAGACTTACGAGGGAAGCAATATCCCAGAAAAGGCTAAGAGTTCTCCCCAGTTCTAAGCACTAACCAGACTGCATGGACTCTAAGGTTACCGTCTCCTTTGTCCTGTGGAGATCTGAAACAAAATTCTGCTTCTCAGGTCATGATAATACTAATTAACTAAAGATAACATACAGAGAACTGCAAAGTTTCAAGGGAGAACTTCTCTCCAGTATTTGAATGGTACTCTGACCTTTGCGATCAGGGCACAAACCATGACCATCACCTTGACCGCCACCTCCCCTCAGAGCCTGATGAGACTTCGCAGGACCCTAAACCCTTGGGCATTGCCTTGGGGATGGCAATGCTTCTATCTCAGTGTCCCCAACCACCATCCTGGGAAGCAGCCCCTGTGGAGATGCAGTCTGGCCACTGTTCCTGCAGGGGCTGGGGCCACAGCAACTGAAGACCCAGAAAAGAGAGGTCTCCGACACTGACAAATGGCTCAAAATCAGAAGCTGATATGATTTCACTAATGGAAATAGCATTAAAGAAGAGGCCCTACCGTTGGCTTTGCTGCCACACCTTAAGAACCACGGGGTCTATCTGACTTCATAGATGTTGTCTCCCCCATGAAAATGGGAGCTCCTTGAAAGCAAGGCCTATCTTATACCTCTGTATCCCCAGCACTAAGCACAGAGGTGAGCACTTAGTAGGTGCTTTGTGTATCCATGATCCAATTATAAAGGTTGTAATCCATCCACGCCTTCTTAGCATACTTGATCATTGTGCCCCACCTCCCAGAAAAACCTCCAGAAGAAGGCCAACCAGGACGCCAGAGGCTTTTCTGGCTCAGACTTCATTCTCCAGCCCATCACATTTCATTGTCTGGTCAGGCTTTTTCTGTTGATGACTTTTTATTATTGTTTTATTTTATTTTTTAGGCAATTGGAATTAAGTGACTTGCCCAGAGTCACACAGCTAGTAAGTGTAAAGTGTTTGGTCTGAGACTGGATTTGAACTCAGGTCCTCCTGACTTCAGGGCTGGTGCTCTATCCACTGCGCCACCTAGCTGCCCTGTTGATGGCTTTTTGTGCTGCTTCTGGCATGTAATTTTTGACTGGCAACAGACTGCAACCTATTGACACCCAATACATGACCTTTGATGCCCTTCAGTTGGACCCAAATAGGAATTCTTCAGAGTTAGTGCTATTCTTTGCTTTACTACCAGAAAAACAAGGGAAATGCTTTTGTTTCAAGCAAAATCCTGTGTCATTCACAGAACTACACAACTTCCCAATTCAGCCCACTCACTTCCACCGGGTGTTTTGGGTCCAGTTCTGAACAAATTATATGAGCTTACAGACCAACTCTATGACCAGTCCATACAACTGGCTATCATAGTCTGGGTAATAAGCCTTCTTCCTCACCTTGGTTTTTCCTTTGATGATGGCTAGGCTAAACTCTACTGAGGGTTACAGATCTCTTTCAGAAGGTTCTTTAATGTCTACCATCTGAAGGAAACTCTATCGATGATAGACTCACAAAAAAAAAAGTATTTGGAAAACCTCCTACAGATAAGCCTTTTTATGATGAGCCTGGGCAGAAGAATTTCCATGACAGTAGCAAACACAGTCTCTTTCTTTGCAGCTTTGCTTGATAAAAATAATCAGGAGCATCACACCTATCAGATTGGCCAACATTACAAAACAGGAAAATTATAAATGCTGGAGAAGATGTGGGAAAATTGGAACACTAATGCCTTGTCGGTGGAGTTGTGAACTGATCCAACCATTCTGGAAAGCAGTATGGAACTAAAGGGCTATAAAAATGTGCATACCTTTTGACCCAGCAATAGCACTTCTAGGTCCGTATTCTAAAGAGATCATACAAATGGGAAAGGGACCCACGTGTACAAAAATATTCATAGCAGCTCTTTTCGTGGTGGCCAAGAATTGGAAATTGACGGGATGCCCATCCATTGGGGAATGGCTGAACAAGTTGTGGTATATGAATGGAATGGAATACCATTCTAAGAAATGATGAGTAGGCTGACTTCAGAAAAACCTGGAAAGACTTGTATGGTCTGATGCTGAGTGAAGTGACCAGAACCAGGAGAACATTGTACACAGTAACAGCCACATCGTGCGATGACTGACTTTAATTGACTTAGCCCTTCTCAGCAATACAAGGATCAAAGACAATTCCAAAACACTCATGATGGAAAATGCTGTCCATATCCAGAAAAAGAATTATGAAGTCTGAATGCAGACTGAAGCAGACTATTTGCTCTCTCTTTTTTTGTTTTGTTTCTTCTTTCTCGTGGTTCCTCTCATTCATTCTAATTCTTCTTTACAACATGATTAATATGAAAATATGTTTAGTAAGAATGTATATGTAGAGCCTATATCAGATTGTGCGCCATCTTGGGGAGGGATGAGGGAAGGGAGGCAGAGAAAATTTAAAACTCAAAATCTTATGGAAGTGAATGCTGAAAACTAAAAATAAATTACGTAAAAAAAACAATCAGGAGCTCATCCAAAAAATTATTTTTGTTGTCATATCAACCAAGTAATCTTCTATAACCTTAGCACTTTCCTGGTTATCAATGACATTGCCAAAAAGCTGGGCAGCAAATTGAGCAGAATATTCCAGACCTGCATCACTCAAAGCCTGGAACATAGTGACAACTTAATTATGTTGAAATGAAAGGGGAAAAAAATCTTGAGTCAACTAGTTCAATTTTTGGACTCACATTTAAATGCTAAAGTTCCATCATTCACATGACTACAATCATAAAAACAACTGGTTTTCAAATTATATACATTTGTTCTAAAATTTGCTGCTTCATATTATGAAGACATTCCAGTTCTATGGATTTACCTTCTCTATGCCATAGATCAAGATAGCCAGAAGATTCTGGAGAACGACTGAGGCTCAGGTGCCTGGATGAGACTTGGGTGAACTGGGAACACCGAAGATTATGGAAAGAAAAGTTCCACTGAGAAACTATATGGCACAACATGGGACACAGGAAAAGAGAGTAAAATCAAACTCACCCGAATCCTCACTGTCAGGAACCCAGAATTCATTCCCTCCTCATGTTGTGTAGGCTGAGCTGGACAAGAAGAAAGAAGTCATGTGGGAGATGAACCTTACCTTACAGCTCCTAATCAAAGCTTTCACTAGACTCCCTTACCCCCAACCCCTCTCCATTGCCAGTCCCATACTCTGGATCAGAGGCGTCACACACAAAGGCCTCACGTAGCCCACAACACAGCCCAGTGGAGCCCAAGTCAAATTAAAATTGGGAAAGACTTAAAAGAAACTGATGAACAAATAAACATATAAACCTTTTCCTCACAGCTGTCCCCTGAGGCAGCTACTTCCCTGTCTCCCACACTGGGTAGGCGGCTCTTCCCCAACACTTCTGAGATGCTCACCTCCTGTCTCCTCTGGCCCCGGAGCCCACTCCGCCATGGTCAATGGTCCTGGCTGGGCTCTCTGTGCTCAGCCTTCACTCTAAGGCCTCCTCGCCCAGAGGCACTGCCCTATCGGCGGTGCTAGGAGCTGCTCCTTCACCTCAGGTGCTGCCCTCGAGCCGGAGGGAAGATCTCAGGGCAGGAGTCACCTCCTGGGGGGGTCTGCTTTTCCAGGACATGGGAAGTGTCCTTTACACCCTTTACCTTCTTCTGGGAGAGCTGAGGCCTAGAAGCAGAAAAGCAAGATCACTTTAAATGGGCCCTTCACTCTGGGGCTCAGATCCCCATCTCCAGCTGGACGCTGTACCTCTGGGCCAGAGGACTCTACCGGACACTAGTCAAGCCAGAAAAAAGAATGGAGACAGCAGGAGGGAGCAAGGAGTCACAATCACACAGGGTTCTCTGAGCCATCCACAGGCCCTGACACGCAGACTGTGTGCAATACTTCATTATAGGAGAAACCTTTACTGCGTCACATTGATGGAGAAATATGATCTAAGGCAGGGGTCAACAATCAAGTGATGATGAATTACTAAGGCCACAGCAAAGAGTGAGGAGCGGTGTGCACTGGGGTGTGGGGTTGCCCTTTCCCCAAATGTGTCCAACTTCTAAACTTACACAAAGACCCTCAAAGCATGCCACGCTCCCAACACACCATGCCTGCCATGCGTACACATTCATCTCCTTAATGTAAATGGAGGTCACATACACAGACACACGAATGTCCACAAACACATAACCCACATATTGTAATTCAGTGCCTTCTGAGATAATCACGGATCTTGGACACAAAAATACATGAGGAATGAATTTCATTCAATCGAGAAATATAATATTTAAAAAGCACCTTGCAGCTAACACTGTAGGAGAAACAAGGAAGGCCTTATGACCTAGCACAGAGGTGAGTAAATACCAGAACACTGGCCAATTGGTGATCACTTTTTTGGATGTGGCAATGCATCCTCCCATTCAGAGAAACCTAGACAGAGACACACAGACTTATAAAGCACATTGCATGAGGATGAGGGAAATGATTAATTTAGACCCAAACTTATCTCCAATCAGTACTAGTCAGCTTGGTGTGATTCCATAGGGGTAGTGATCATTAGCAATTATTAGTATTATATTTATCCACTAATATACACTTAGTCAACTAACATTAGTATAGGATTACATATATTAATGTGATTTATATACTTTAGATACAGGAATAATTAGATACGGTTAGATAGATTGTTTCTTATATTAGGTCCCAAACTTTGACTATGAGCCAGTAAGTTCACTGTTAATTAACCTGTTATAAATAAAGCTCACAGGTTGTTATAAAGTTCACTTGCCTAACCACAAGTATGCTAACTAGAGGACTCCCACACTTTTGGGGATTGAGTACATGACTCTGCCCTGCATGGGCTAGATGTCTTTGTTGAGGTTTAGGGGTGCTGGGACCCCAAAATCACAACACACGGATCCTGCCCGAAAGAATTCGACCCAAGCCTTCTTTCAGCCAAAGACAAGGTTTAATAGAACATCTGTCATATTTGCCAGACTCTTAAGGCATCTAAGCATTTGTATCGCTAATACAAACGGGTCAGATCTTAAGAATCTGAGCAGTGGCTAGAATTTAAGAATCTGAGCATTTTAATGAAGACAAGATGGACCTTATACATAAAAGACTGTGGGAGGGATCTAGGAGTAGTCAACTAGTTTGGGGTGACTGGAGGAGGGGGTCTAAGGAGGATCTGGATGGGAGTGGCCAGTAAGGTGGGGTGAACAGAACACCAGGGACCAGAACCATGCCAGGGGTGGCCAAGGGAGAATGGAGTCTAGATAGGATTAAGGGTGAAAAGTGGCCAGAGGCAATGGGGAGGTAAGGGAATTGGGAGATTGGGTGTAGCCACAACGAAAAATCAATTGAGTGGATTACAGCCTCAGGCAAAAGCCAGGGATTTGGGAAAGTCCAAAGATTTTCCTTTTTGGGGTCCAGATCCCAAAGACATGGTCTTTTCCTTTTAGGGGTTCAGATCCCATCCTTATCATCTCGATATGATATGGAAAGTCCTCCAACTTATTTTTGTGTCTCCAGACCACCCTCTCTTGTCCAACATGAGGGAGGACCCATATGATGACCACTTAGTCACATCGGAGATAACCCGGGCCTGTGACCACCCATGCTGATGCATGATTTCTGGCCTGTGTGGAGTCAACATCAAGGTCTATCATCCAATGAAACTCTATTTCACTTGGCCCCTTCTGTGTCTCTGGCTATCAAACACTATACAACTAAGGGCCTGAAGTAAGGGGGCATCTCAGATCGTGAGGAAGATCTGCGGTCCACCTCATTAGAGAGGGCCATGGATCTTTAATAAAGCACTACTGGCTCGGAGCTCCGCCTCAGTGGTTTTTCTTTTAGATTGGCCAATTTTGGACCCCACAAGGATGTGCACTTAGGACAGCTTTTTTTAAGGCAAACATTTACTGAATTCACAGCCATGAAGGACCCAATTTTTAGTTATCAGACTAAAGAAAGCAAAATTTAACTAGCCTTGATTTCTTAATCAAATTACTACCTCTAAATAATACCCTCTACATCTTACTTTTTTGGCTAAAAAATATCTTTGCAAAGGAACTCTCCTACTCAAGCGGAGTTCAGGAGCCAGCGGCCGGTGGGACGTCCGCTCCCTGGCCCGCTCCCCTCTGCTGCCGCCACTCTGACCATCGCCGCCTGGGCCGCCCCCTGGACTCTGGCCGCGGTCAGCCCGGCCTGCCCCTGCCAGACCCCAGGGATGCAGGCCAGAGCCCCTTCTTCCTCTGCGCTCCCCGTTGGGGTGGAAGTTCCTGGAAGGCAGGGGGCGCAGAGCCGGCGCTAAAACGCCGGCACGGACAATGGCCTGTCCAGCTCCATGGGGCCTGATGGGGAGGGGGCGCGTCCTTGGGGCCCCAAAGCCTTCCTGCCCCCCCATTAGAAGGTGGGTTTTTGCCTCTTTGGACCCTCAGTCCTCAGCACGGACGCTGGTATACAGTAAGTGCTTAATAAATGCTTGCTGCCTGGCTGCCTGGATAGGGGGCTGGGGCCTGGGGAAGGCAGGCGGGAGAAGATGGAATGGGGGGTCGGGTTCATGTGGGGGTGAAGCTGGTGTGGCAGAGAACGAGGGGGAATTCCGAGGGCTTGGGGAGAGGAGAGAGCTCACTGTGGAAGGACAACGACCACCGGAGGGGGGGGGAGCACGTGGCAATTCACTCACTTTATATGAGACTGTCCAACGCGTGCAGTCACGTGGGGATCCTACACACAGGCGCTCACAGGCAGAGAGAGGGAGGAAAGGTGGATCCGCGCGTGCGCATTGACTCCCTATCCTCACTCCCTAGGCGGCCACAGAGGTGGATGGGCTGGGGGAGACCACGCCCCCGCCCCCCCCCCCCCCCCGCAGTGAGCCGCGCGTGCGCACAGCCTCGGGTGGACACGTTGGGCCCTCAATGCAGGAATAGGGGAAGGGGAGAGCAGAGCCGGGTCGCGCGCGCGCACTTCCTCCCGGCTTACTCACCTCTCAGCTCGAGCGCCCACTTCAGGGGCAGAGGGGGACGGAGCGGGCGCTGTGGCGAGACAAGGCGGAGGTAAAGTCTCACTCCAGAGACTGCGGCCTCACACCACGCAGTCCAGAATAATCATTCCCACAATGCATCACGCTCTGCGGTATTGCGCAAAGGCTAGAAGACCAAGCGAGCCAAAACGCAGCATGGACTAGGGGTGCATTCTGGGAAATGTAGTCCGGAAGCAAGAGGGCTCGGCGCACTCCGGGCCCCAGACTCCATTCCCCAGAAGGTATTGCGGCCTTCCTTTCCAAAGCTTGAGTCTGCGCACCTGGGCTGGCCTGCACCCACTGACACTTTCATTTATGTCCGTGGAGAAGAATCGTTTTGGCCCGACTTTATTTTAAAAGAAACGAAAAGATTTCTGGTCACCTCCCCTATGTAGGCTTCAATTTCCTAATGCGTAAAATGACCCCAATCAACCTTTCTGGGTCTATGGCCCTGTGACCCAGGATCTTCCTGTGTGCCCAGAGTATGACCAAGGCTGAGGACTGGGCACCCCTGTCTCCCTTTTTGGGGAAACTAGGCCTCTTTTGATGCAAACATTAGGACCCCCAGATCTTCTTCACAAAGACTCGTTGTCTAGACTAGTAGTGTCAAACTCAAATATCAGGAGCCACTGAGTTAGTTTAAAAATGCAATGTTGTCTAGTTTTAGTATGTTTTCATTTATTTTGCTAAGTGTCTCCCCATTACATTTTAATCTGGTTCGCTTGTTTGACACCTGTGCCATAGAGGATCACTCAGATTGATGAGGATGGGATCTAGGAAAAACCCTGGACTTTGCCACACGGCCAAATCTCTGGAGTTTGCCTGAGGCTATAATCTCACCAACTGGCCTTTCTTTGTGGCTACACCCAATCCCAACTCCAGGTCTCGTTCCCACTGTACGCTCCACCTCTCATGACCTGCTCCTACATTCTTCCCAGTAGTATCTTCCACAAGGTTCCCTGAGTGGGACACTCAGGTTTTGGTTTTGCTAATATGGAGGATGCAGAAGAGCCTACAAATGAACTGCAACCCACAACTCTAATACAAGCACAAGCAGGAAAACAACATGACCAAGGAGAGAATGACCACACTTGTTACCATTTTCCTCCATCACATACCTAGGGAGGCAAAGGGAGGGTCGATGGCATGCAGTGATTAGGAAGAACTGGATTTTGAAAGTGAATTTATTACAGGCTAGCTGAATTTCTGAAATAAATTCAGAGACAAAGAATTGCCCATGGTTTGGGCAATTTTATGACACGTTTCGGGTGTCAACTGGGGTGAAGCCCACCCCTTAAATATGGAGGAGTCCAAGTTGAGTTGATGGCAGAAAGGTTTGATTAGAAGGAAAATCAGAAACTAGTGTTGAGGCAACCAGCTACTAGAGCCCTAACTAACCTAGGAGAAGTAGGGGCAATTTATGCTTGAAAACCACAAAATTGAGGTTCAGGGAGGGGTTAGGGTAAAGAATTGACAGTTTTTCCCAGGAACAGGTGGGTCACAGAAGCAAGATGTTTTGCTTTGCAGGAATAATGGACTGCCAGGCTGGTTTAAGCTGGTTAGAGATGCACAGCTCAGCAAGGTCAGCCAGCTTCTGGGATTAAGCGAGACTTTAGCTCATTGCAAGCTCCTGATTGGCTCCCTTCAGCAAACAGGCTTACTCTATGAACAGGGCACCCGCTTGGGAAGGTAACTCATAGAAAACAGACATACTAATCTTAGGGGTACTCTCACAGGGGTGATACAGAATAGAATCAGTTACAAAATAGAATCAGAATCATTTACTTTTCTCGATTTCTCCCTTTTTGTTAATGAGAGACCAATTGTGACTGGTCAATGCAAGAACAAGAAGAATGATTAACCATACTACAAGCCATAGTAAGAGTATCTAAATTTGTGGACTAATTTAGAAGGAAAATTCACATGACACCAAGATAACTGAGAGAACTCAGCATACAAATATAGTAAAAAAAAAAAAAAAAAAGCCAAAGTCACACGATAATGACGACCAACATTAACTAACATTAAGTCCTTTTGTATTTTAGTAACCCATTCCTAATGGTCATTTAGTCAACAAATTTCATGTTGGATCTCAGATATTCCATGTAGTTGTCTGGTCTCTGGAACATCTTCTCTTAGACATCCTGGGATAGTCTCATCTTTAATAGATTTGCTTCTCTGGTTCCAAGTTGCTTATAAAAACTCCTTAGGTGATCCTGCTAAAATCTTTTACAAAACAGATCTCTATGCAGCCTCTCAGATTTTCTCTCTCCAATACCTAGTTCATGTGGTGAAAACTAGCTCGAACCTTGTGGTTCTGATCTTATTAACAATAGGGTTATAAAAGAAACATCAAATTAGTTCACTTGAAACTTCAGAAAATTTAAGTTTTACATACCCCATAAGAATCATTTGCATTTGATGTACAGGATTATCTGATCTTGTTGCTTTCTCAAAATTTTCCACTCCAACCAATTCCAATTTCCCTTAGGAGGATCAGATGCTATTGACAATCTAACCTTACATATGAAAACATAGGATCAACACTCTTGGTAGGTAGAATCTTAGAATCTTTCCCACCCCTAGGGTTCAATGGTTACACAAATGAATTTTCTTACAAGAGGCTGACTTTACTCCAGTTGTAACAAAAGACCTGGGAAGGGTTGTGTAGATACACCAAGTAATTAATTCCCAATCGTATACAGAGAACAGTGTGTATCAAATGAGTTGCCTATGGTAAAACCTGTTCAGTTGTTAACCATATTCAAATGGAATAGATATCACATAAATATTACTCTCCACTAAGATGACTAATTGTAATGAAATTCTATTCTTTAAAATAAAAAAAGAAGAGTTTCTACTTTTAACCTCAAAAAGTAATAGATTAATGTCTTTCTTTCATAGACTTTTAAAAAGAAACCTTTGTCTAATGATCTGCATAGCATTATAAAAGAATAAGATACTTCAGGGACTTAATAGTATACATGACTACATAACGATTAGACATATGACAAGCCCAAATGCTAATTTGTTTGGTTGTTTGGGACACGGCATGACTGTAAACTCAGATTGAAAACTCAAATATGTATAGTGGTTATATCTTCCACTGACCACTTGTTCTGATTATAGAAATTGGTTATAAAATGAAAAAAAAGACACATAAGTATAACAATATCAAAATTGGTCCTTTAGGCCTAAACCTCAGGGCATAGAATGAGTCAGTACTTACACCAGGATGAAGCATCCTCAGCTCTGTTTTATTTCAGGTAAGAGTCACAGCTGACAACTCATCTTGCAGTAGCAATTTCTCCTCATAGCCAGATTCAGGATAACCAGGTGGGAAAAATTCCTGTTCAAAAGGAACACAGTATGGAAACTGAGTCAAGATAATCCTACCTTTGGCCATTCAAAGGCCAACCCCTCAATCTTTTCCCCAGATATAGACATTCTACCTGCAATTCAGAACCACACTTCCTCTAAGTAGCTTCTGGCATTTCCCTTGATGATGGATTACTGACTTAATGATCCATCAGACAATGTATTATGCAACTAATCTATTCCACTGATCCACCACTCCATTTCTTAGACAGTATTAGATTGTTTTGATGATTGCCACTTTATAAAATAGTTTGAGATCTGGTGTGACCAGGCCACCTTCACAGTTTTTTTTTTCATTTATTCCCTTGATATTCTTGACCATTTTTTCTTCTAGATGAAATTTATTATTTTTTCTAATTCTATAAAATAATTTTTGGTAGTTTGATTGGTGTGGCACTGAATAAGTAGATTAATTTAGATAGAATTGTCATTTTTTATTATATTGGCTCTGCCTACTCATGAGCAATTAATATTTTTCCAATTGTTTAGATCTGTTTTTTTGATGAAAAGTATCTTGTAATTGTGTTCATATAGTTCCTGGGTTTGTCTTGGTAGGTAACTGCAAAGTATTTTGTATTATCTACAGTTATTTTAAATCAATTTTCTCTATCTCTTGCTGCTAGACTTTGTTGGTTATATATAGAAATGCTGATGATTTATGTGGGTTTATTTTATAGCTTTGTTAAAGTTGTTAATTATTTCCACTAGTTTTTTAGTTGATTCTCTAGGATTCACTAAGCCTGTCAAGGTACAAGCCAATGTGCATTTTCCAGGTGTCCTGGCACTCCTGCAGCTCAGGCCACCTCTCTCACATCCATTTGGTATGGGTGGTCAACCTGGGATTGCCCCCTGGCAGACATGCCACCTCTCTCTCCCAGGGTTTTGAAATGGCCAGGATTTCCCCTGTGGAGGCCTCAGTCCCCAAGTTAATTTCTTCAGTATCCTGCCAATTTTTCCAAATATGAGGGGGAAGGTTCTATTTTGCCCTGATTATGCCAATTGTAAGGTGGTGTGCCCTCTGAGAGGATACTGAGATGCTAAATAAAAAGGGGACCATGCCAGCTTGGTTATTAATAGGTTTTGGCTTATTGGGATAAATTGGATCAATTGGGGAAGCTGATCATCCTGGGTGGCAGCAGGAGAAAGTAAAATGGATCCTTGCACCAACCCCAGGTCAGGTCAGGTCATAGAAACAGAACAAAGAAGGCATAGTACCAGGGATGGCGCAAGGTCACGCGCAAGTTCTCTTATGGGATAGTTCTAGCTTCTTTTGCTGTTTACATTTCCTCAAAGTAGTTTGCATTTTCTGTGGAGTCATAGGTCATATTCCCAGGCTATGGCTCCCACTGTACACTTTCCATCATTTCTTATGGCATAATTGTACTTCATCACATTTACATACCATAACTTATTCAATTTCCAGTTTTTAGAGAGGTTTTTTGCCACCTCAGAAAGAGCTTTAAAGATTTGTGCATATCCATAGAGTTTTAAAGCAATTTTTATTTTGAACCCCTCAGGACGCAGCTGTTTTCAAATTATATCAAGTCAAGGAATATCTTCCTTCTTTCCCTCCTACCTAACTCCCATCCCCCAGCTGAAAAGTTACAAATATGCATAATCAAGCAAAACAAATTCCCATATTGGTCATGTGAAAAAAAAGTCTTAATCTGCATACTGATTCTGTCACCTTTGTTAGGAGCTAGATAGCGTGTTTCATCATGAGTTCTGTGAAATCATTGTTGGTCATTGTGGTGATCAGGGTTCCTGTCTTTCAAAGTTGTTTGTCTTTACAATGTTATTGTTATTGTATAAATTGCCCTCTTGGCTCCACTCACTTCACTTTGCATCAGTTCATACAAGTCTTCAGGTTTCTCTGAAATCATCCCTTTCATTATTCCTTGCAGTACAATAGTATTCCATCACATAAATTTGTTATCAAAAAAAATTTATTATCACTTGCTATTTGCAAAGTACTATGCTAAGTGCTGAAGATACAAAAAGAAAAGTAAGATAGTCCTGGCTTTCACATGTGGAAGGCTTCAGCTTCAAGTCAGATGGAAAGATCTCGTGGTTCTAGGGCAGGGTTGGGGAACCTGCGGCCTCTAAGCCACACATGGCCCTCTAGGTCCTCAAGTGCAGCCCTCTGACTGAATCCAAACTTCACAGAACAAATCCCCTTAATGAAAGGATTTTTTCTGTAAAACTTGGACTCAGTTAAAAGCATACTTGTGGTCTCAAGGTCATAGGTTCCCCACCCATGTTAGGGGTCTACTGGCAAAGCAGATGGTCATGCCTTTTCTTTAATGTCCACTGATAAAATCCTATTACCTTCAGATATTGAACTGTTTGAAAATGCCAAGAACTTTGGTGACAAAAACTTTCTTTTCTGTGTCTTCAATAAATGTGGCTAGCAGAAGCACTTGTCAGTTCTGGTTGCTTCACAGGATGATGGCTGTGGGTACCAGGCTGGAAGCACTGCTGTTCCCAAAGCTATTGGGCTCAGGGTCCGAGGCTGTCGTCAGCAAGTCTAGGGAAGATTTGGGTTAAGGTAGTGATGGTGGTTTTGACCTGTGTGGCATTGTTGCCTCCTGTTTCTTGCTTAGGTTGCCCTGATTTTTAAGTAAGGCTGGGTTGCCTACTCCGTGAAAGGCAGTTCATATGCCATATGCCATAAACTATGCAGGCATTCCCCAACTTATGGGCACCCCCTCAGCTTCCAGTTCTTTACCACTGCAAAAATCAAGAGCTGCACGCTGCATGAAATATATTTGTACATACAGGTTCCTTTCTCTCTTTTTGTGATTTCTCTAGGAAAACTTAGTAGTGGTATCACTCAATCAAAGGATATGCAGAATTAAAAACTTTTGGGGTGTAGCTCCTGTCTGGGAATTCTCTTGACCAAGAAGAATGGAAACTATTGGGAGAGGTACACCTATCATTGGGTGTCCAATGATTGTGGGTCAAAGGAGGTAAAATGGAAGAGACTTAGTAGTATGCTCATTGTATAGCAGCTTTCAGCTCCCTAGGGTAAAGATTTGTTATTGTTTTTATAACTGTTCGGGTCCCTTTAGAGTACACACGGCCAATCAGCAACATTTTCCAGCAACTTAGGATAGATAATCACAACAGAAGGGGTAGGGGAAAGAAAGATAGGAATCATCCAAGGGAGAAAAGGGGAGTATTTGGAATACAACTGGCAGAATTTATTATAAGAAAGTCTTCCCCATTCAAGGACCAGAGATCATTGCAAAGCATACAAATCATTTTTTACAATTTTGAAAGAAGTCCTTTTAGACAAAACTACAGTCTCTTCTACAAGGACAAATAGTTGTTACATCAGTGGATGAGGCTGATGTCCTTGAACAATTTGTCCTATTTCATTTCTCCTTCAACAGGGGCTGGGGACTTTCTAACACTAGGCCACCAGGTGGTTGAGCGATTAGTCCAACGAGATGTTACCCAATGGGGTTCCTCCCTCCCCCAAGCCCATGCCAAGCTGTTCTCCAGAAGGCTGGACCAGTGCAGCTCCACCATTGGGACTGGTGGGGTGACTGGACTGTGCCCAGGGTCTGGGGGGGCGCAGTCAATTACAGCTGAACCCCAGCTTCCTTGCCCTTCTCTGCACACCCTGGTCCAGCTCCGCATCCCCACGCTTCTTAGACTCTGAGACGATTCCAATCAATCGATTGATCATCAGTCAGCATTTACTGGATTCAAGGAGCATCCACTGGTGACAGGCGCAGTTGAGGAAACTGAGGCCGACTGAGGTACTGCTATTATGGCCCCCGCTTTAGAGATAAAACAATTGACGCTGGGGCTTGCAGGGGGAGACTCCTGGAGCACACCCCGTAGAAACACACAGAAAGATAAGGCGTGAGGGCGGGGGAGTTTGACCTTCCTCCCTCCAGGAGGGGCGGGGAAAGCCTCCCCGCAGTGTAGGGGAAGGGACAGCCATTACTGCTTAAGTAAGGGTGACCGCGGCGTCTTCTGGGAGATGGAGTCCAGGGCAGAGCATGCGCCTTGCGGCCCAGGCGGGCGCGAGACAGCGGGGCTGCTCCTGGACTCCATTTCCCAGAATGCCTCAAGAGGCTCCTCTGGGTCCAGGCAGCGTCGCTCCTTCTGCCTTCCTATGAGGGTTGTGGCCGAGCGCGTTGCACTGTGATACTTTTCCGGCCATACTCTGACCAAGCTTGGTACCTGGTGGGGCTCTAGGCCTCTAGGCCCGCTATTTGGGTGGGTGAGTGAGAGAATCAGTGCGCAGGCGTCAAACCACGACCGCTCGGAGTCTACAGCCGAGAGCGTTGGACTTGACTGAAGGAGTGCGCAAGCGCAGCGCTTCGGCCTCCCCCTTTTCCAGCTCCGGGGGCGCACTTCCTTGGGGGTGGGGGGTAGGGCGGGTTGAGTGCGCAGGCGCGGCTCCTGGCGCGCGGTGCACGTGTGTGCGAGCCACAGGATGTTTGGGGACCGGGGGGGGGGGAGGTGCGTGGCGGTTGTGTGACACTGTGTGTGTTGGAGGCTATGTGTACGTGACATTGTGCGCGCGTGTGAGAGAGAAAAACTGTGTTGGAGAGTACGTGTGTGATGTGTGTGTGAGAGAGATTCTGTGTGTGTGTGTGACTGTGTGTGTGAGAGAGACACTGTGTGAGACTTTGTGTGTGTGTGATTGTGTGTGTGTGCCTGTGCCTGTGTCTGTGCCCGTGGCTGCGGGTGGGGGCTCGAGGAGCCCGTGTGGGCCTGTGGCTGGGTGTGGGTGCCACTTCAGCATCCCCACAACTTAATGCTTGGGGCTTCACTGTGGCCAAAAGCCATCCTTGGTAAATCGTCCACCTTATGGTCATTTACTGGTCTCCCCCTCCTTTAGGGTCTGGGGGAGAGGAGAGGAGGTAGCGCTTAGAAGAGCCCACGGGGGCATCATCTTTGAGCTCTCAAGCCCAGCTGTACTAGAAAGTGGAAACCCTCCCCAGGAAAAGGAGGAGAGGGGGTCCCTGAGATCCCTCCCCACCAGGGACCCCTCCCCACCAGGGACCCCTCAGGAAGGCATGAAGAAGCAGATCCTGGAGGGGCTGATGCCTCTGCATCCATCCCTGACCCTCCTCAGACCGGATGGGCAGAGGAGACCCTGAACTCAGAGCAGTGAGAAGAAAGCCAGGAGGAGGTAACCATGGAGGACGGAGGTGAGAGTTGTGGCAGAGCGTGGAGGATTGGAGTCCTGCCCAGGTCAGAGGTGGTTTGTCAGGGAAGGATCCAGGAGAGAGAGCACGAAAAAAGAAGTCAGCTAACGTAACTCATTTCCCTTCTGGCCCTCTCTGCAGCTCAGGGCCTACCATGATCTGGCTCCCCATGCTGGCCTCTGAACTGGCCCGGCACTCATAGGCAAGAAACAAGTGTTGATTTGTTAAGCATCTACTATGTTGTGTTCAGGGAATGAAAGTTGGCAATAGGATGGGGGTCCCTGTGGAAGGGGGGCTGTATTTCTGGTGCGTTGTAAGCAGTGATTGGCAGCTGGAGAAGAGGCGTGGAGAACACTGATGGAGAGGTGACCTAGAGGATGAGACTGAGGATGCAGAAAGACTTTGCAGATGGAAATAAAACCGTGTTTTACAGTCAGTCTGACCTTTCTTTCTCCTTCACCAGCTCAGTCTCATCAAACATTGGCTCTTCCCCAAGACAGGAGTATGACAAGTGAGGAGGGAATGACTTTTGGGTTCCTGACGGCAAGGATTCAGGTGAGTTAAAGTTTACTCTTTGTCTTTCCTGTGCCCTATTTCGTGGCATATATCTGTTCTAAGAGTAATGTTTCTGTCCTTTCATTTCTCAGTGTACTTAGATCCCTTCTGGGCTACTGAGCCTGTTACTCTGAAGCCTGTAGCTATTCTGATCACTGACATAGAGAAGGCAGGTCAACAGAACTGGAATGTCTGCATAATATAAATTAGGAAATTTTGGAACAAATGTACATGATTTGAAAACAATTGCCTTTTATGCTTGTAGATGAATGGTGGGAGTTAAGCATATAAAGGTCGATCAAAATCTTGTACTAGTTGATCTCAAAGATTTCTTCTAATTTAAGATTTTTTTCCTTACAATTTAGCAAACGTTAAGTCGATCCACTAGCAGTGCCCAGATAAAAATGAAACTACCCCTGCCCCTGAAGACCTTACATTTTGCTGTAGGATAGCCTTAAACACAGGTAAGAAACAAGCGAAAGAGTATAATGCAGAGATGGAGATGGAGTAAGAGAGAGACGGAGGATACAGGAGATGCCAGGGAAGAAGGAACTGTGCAGGACAAAAGAAGGTGCAAGGGAAGGAGAGAGAATGGGAGAAACAGAAGACGTCCTTCCTTGGTACCTCATACTGGCACTGCAGTTCTGGAGCATTGTGAACAGCGTGTAGCCCCACTTGTTAGGTAGAGAAGATTGACAAGCAGGAGAGTGTCCAGTGCAAGTGATACAGAATGGTGATATCAACTATTTACATCAGTTGAATGGTCTAGAACAGGAGTGGGGACTCTAGGGAACAAATTGTGGAACAAATCCTTAATCCAGACTTCACAGAACAAATCCGCTTAATAAAAGGACTTGTTCCGTGGGGTTTGGAGTCAGTCAGAAGGCCTCCCTTGAGGATCTAGAGGGCCATGTGTGTCCTGGAGGCCACGGGTTCCCACCTCTGGTCTAGTGTTATTTAGGTTAGAGAAGAGAAGATTTAGGCTGAACGTGAGTGTTTTGCCAGTGCTTTTGAAGGGATTTCATAAGGAAAGAATAGACTTGTCCTGCTTGGGCGCAGAGGACCTGACGAGAAGCAGGGTGTGGAGCTAGCAAGAGGAAGATGGTTTTCTGACAATTAATCTATCAAAGTGTGGAATGAGCTGCTGAAGGAGAGAGTGGGGGTCTTAATGGAGATCTTAAAGAAAAGGCTAGGTGACTACTCATCAGCCGTGCTGTGTGGAGGGACCTTAAAGGGGTATTTCTTGAACTAGAAGCCCCAAAGGTCCCATCCAGCTGAGTGAAGACTACCACCTCATCCACTAGGAATAAACAACAGAGGGAAAAGCAGGTGTATCGAAAGCGTGGCATGAGTCCCATTTAAATCAGATGACCCTGATAATAGCTGTGGATGAAGGTAGAATGAAGACAACAAAGGAAATGGCAAACATCTCTCCGGAGATCTTTAGCCGTCGGGGATATTAGAACCACCACATTCATACTCTGAATTTACAAACTGTCACGTGGAGCGTGGGGAAATGACGATGGAGAGAGTAAAGAGAAAGGGAAATTCAGGAGGGAGGGAGCATGCTTTTGAGAGCATTGAGGGATGAGTTTCCAAGAACCCTGTGAAAGAACATTTTCCATTTACTTGGAGAAGATCACCAGGTATCATTCCAGAAAAAATCCAGACAGAAGATTTAAAGAAATATCTACAAACCTCTGGAACTAATTTCCCATCTCTGCAAAATCTTTATGAGGAAAAAAATGTCCACCTATCACAGGGTAAGAGGGCATGAGAAGGGAACAAGCAGTCCTTTCAAAAAAATACTCCACAGCAGTGATTTCCAACTCAAATGAAAACAGGGGTCATTAAACTATAAACGTAAGGATCCCTGTGGGCCACATATGGACTTGGAAAACCACATACGAACATTATCCGTGTTCTGTTGTATTTTTATTTTTGGAGGTAATTAGAGTTTACTAAGTAACTTGCCCAGGGTCACATAGCTAGTAAGTGACTGAGGTTGGATTTGAACTCAAGTCCTCTTGACATCAGGGCTGGTGCTCTATCCATTACCCCACCTGGTTGCCCCTTGTTTTGTGGTATTTTTTTTTTCTGTTTTATTTTTAAAAATACTTCCCAATTACATTTTGATGTGGTTTGGGCTGCACTCAAGAGAGTTTTTGCTACGGTGTGGCCTGGCTGTATGTTTGACACTTCTGCTCTATAGTATGCAACTTGTCAGTTTAGCGAAAGGTTCAGAGAGTAGAAGTTCTCCTCCGGTAGCATTTGATCCTGTAGAGCAAAAATGCAACATTGAAGCCTCTCCTACCCCAGTGTCTGTCCCGTGGATTGCTAAGGTAATAGAAGCTTACTTGGTTGATATAACAACAAAGATGATTTTTGGATGACCTCTAGATTATTTATATCAAGCATGGCTTCAGAGAGGGGAACTGTGTTTGCTTTGGTCATGGAGACTCCTGCTCAAGATCCATCATAGAAATGTGACGTATAAAAAGTTCAAGACATAATTTCTGGGTAATTAGTCATTTTATTAATAGTGATGGCCTATTATTAATAAAGGACCATTTGGCCTTCTCTCCTAAACCAAAGACTAGTCATGGAACCCATTCATGCTTGTATGCCCTTGGAAGAGTGGGTTCCTGAAGGTGGCAGTCGACTCTGATTGGATAATAAGTAATGGAGAAGAATGAATATTAAAATGGGAGATGGACTTATTCTAATGAGGGGTTTTGGTTGAAGAGAATTTTCTGTGTCCTTATCACCTGTCTGACAAAAGGGAGAATCCACATTTTCCCAGACCTGTCTGAGTAAAACACAGTGGGCTGGAATCCATCAATTCACCTGACTTTATCTTTTGAGCAGATCTGAGTTCTTCCTCTTAGTATCAGTCCAGTGCTTCAAGGTCTTCCTGAATAACCTACAGGGGCTGATTGCTGAATAAGGAAGTAAAAAAGGGGAAAAACCTTGGTCCTCATGCAATAATGAGTTATTAAATATAAGAGAGGAATAATTGTTTCTCTCAGAGGGGATTATCTTTAGGATATTTTCCCAACCCTCTCTCTTATGAGCACATCCATGATGTGGCTTCATTAACACTCAGCACATTGGGGAGCCTCCTGAACAACATTGATAAGTACTCAAAGTACTTTGACCGAGATACTCCCAGTGGAAAAGCCAAGGCAGGAAAGAATGATTATTGAGTTACAGTGACTGGCCTTGGTATTGGTCCATAAATTCATGTATCATGTTCAGACAGTGCAGTTTGGAAATGAAATAGACCCATAACTAAACAAATGGAAGAGAACAGAAGAACAGCATTTGGGAAATTGCAACGCTTTTTTTTTAATGTAAATAGTATTTTATTTTTTCCAATTACGTGTTAAGATAGTTTTCAACATTCATTTTTTCTGTGATTTTGAGTTCCAAATTTTTCTCCATCCCTTTCTTTCTTTCCCCATTCCCTAAGATGGCAAGCAATTTGATATAGGTTATACATGTGCAGTCATGTTAAACATTTCCACATTAGTCATGTTGTCAAAGAAGAAACAAAACAAAAGGAAAAAACCATGGGGGGATAAAAAGTGAGAATAGTATGTTTTGATCTACATTCAGACTCCATCAGTTCTTTCTTTGGATGTGGATAGCATTCTCCATTATGAGTTTTTTGGAATTGTCTTGGATCGCTGTATTGCTGAGCAGAAGTAAGTATCATAGTTGATCATCAAATGATGTTGCTGTTGGTGTGTACAGTGTTCTCCTGGTTCTGCTCACTTCACTCAGCATCAGTTCGTGCAAATCCAGGTTTTTCTGAAGTCTGCCTGTTCATCATTTCTTATAGCACAATAGTATTCCATTACATTCATATGCCACAAGTTGTTCAGCCATTCCCCAATTGATGGGCATCCCCTCAATTTCCAATTCTTTGCTACCACAAAAAGAGCTTCTATAAATATTGTTGTTTGTGTGAATCCTTTCCCCCCTTTTTATGATCTCTTTGGGATACAGAATTAGTAGCAATATTACTGGATCAAAGGGAATCTGCAGTGCTTTTATTGACCTCCGGTTTCTGCTTGAAATAGAACATCACCGTTGTTTTCCTGGTGGTTCGTTGTGGTCGTGAATTATGCAATACCATTGTCTCAGAAGAATTAATATTTTGAGAAGACTGAAGGGCAACAGGACATGGGATGGGTATAAATACATTGTAGCATGTTGCCAGTAAAGAGTTGTGCCCAAGAATCAACACGAGAGTTGTCAGCCAAAAAGTATGACTGGAAAATAAGATGGGCCAGTCATGTGGGGAGAATGGGGGATGAGAAAGGGCCATCCACCAGGCTACACTGGTACCCCTGTGTGAGGAGAGCTCTAGAGCAAGGTTTCTGCTTGTTGCTTCAACCACCTCTGGAGGTCGGATGATGGAAACAAAGATGATGCATGCTGAGAAGATGAGGTTGGATTTCAATTTTCACTATTGTGGAGAAGTATCCTTATCAGGAGAGCCAGAGAACCTCTGAAATACTGGAGAAAAGCTTTTCTTTAGAACTGAGCACTGTTTGTTCATTGTATATTATAAGTACTTAGGACATGTTCTAATAAGGAGGGCAGAAGTTTATTCCAGGTCTCCACAGTACAAAGGAAATGGTGACCCAGGAGAGAGAACAGAGGACCATTAGTACTTGGAATTGGGAAGAACTCTTCACTTGTTATACTCTTTCTGGTGTATTGCCTCTTGAATAAATCTGCCTAGAATAAGGAGGTGACCATTGAGGGAGAATGATAGCCCAAAGGGTAGAACTTAATATTTGGGGTTTGATTGTCATTGTAAATATTATGTATGTAACAGTCAGATGGTTGCCAATTCTGTGATATGGTTTGGGAATCTTAAGAGTAAGGTGTGACTGCTGACCTCCTTGGCTTCTTTCAAGTCCCAACTAAAATCCCACTTTCTACAGGAAACCTTTCCCAACCTTCTTAAATCCAGTGCCTTCCCTCTGTTAATTATTTCCTCTTTATCCTGGATATAGCTTGCTTTGTGTATATTTGATTGCATGTTGTCTCCCTATTAGTTTGTAAACTCATTGAGGGTAGGATTGGTTTTTTTTACCTCTTTTTGTATCCCCAGTGCTTAGCACAGTGACTAGTACATAGTTGGACCTTAATAAGTGTTTATTGATTGATTAAGGTTAGGATTTTCTTGGGTTTACTTGTGGAGGATTTGAGAATATGAACTTGAGCAATACTGGCTACTGAATCTAGTTCAAATTGAGATACACCAGAAATAGGTAACGAAGAAGTATTTGGAGGAATGTTTCCTGGCTAAGCAGTTATGGTTTGATTTAGGAATTGGTGACGTTCAAAGATGTAGCTGTGGACTTCACTTGGGAGGAGTGGAGCCGTCTGGATCCTTCCCAGAGGGACTTACACAGGAAGGTGATGTTGGAGAACTGTGAGAACCTTGTCTCTGTGGGTAAGTGCACTGTCTGGCCCCCGGGACTTGGGATCTATGACCCAGACCCATATTCTTCCTTTTTTTGTTTTTTATTTTTTATTTTATTTTATGTTATTTTTTGATTAGGCAGTGGGGTAAGTGACTTGCCCAGGGTCACACAGGTAGTAAGTGTTATATGTCTGAGGCCAGATTTGAACTCAAGTCCTCCTGAATCCAGGGCTGGTGCTCTATCCACTGTGCCACCTAGCTGCACCCCCCCCCCCCTTATTTTTTTGATGAGGCAACTGGAGCTAAGTGACTTGCCCAAGTCACACAGCTAGTAAGTGTTATGTGTCTGAGGTCGGATTTGAACTCAGGTCCTCCCGACTCCATGGCCAGTGCTGTATCCACTACGCCACCAATCTGCCCCTTCCGTATTCTTCCATCAGCTTGTTACAGCAAGTCCACTCCACATGCTTCTACTCTTTCTCGTGATTTAAGAACTTGCAGTTGTGAGAGTGCCAGTGGAGTTCTCAGGCTGTCCACCTGTATTCTCTTACCCTTGCCATGTGACCAGCTCGTCATCTTTTCCTATCGTATTTTTCCTTGACAATGTTTTTTTGTTTGTTTGTTCGTTTGTTTGTTTTTTGGTGAGGCAGTCGGGGTTAAGTGACTTGCCCAGGGTCACACAACCAGTAAGTGTCAAGTGTCTGAGGTCAAAGTTGAACTCAGGGCCTCCTGACTCCAAGGCTGGAGGTCTATCCACTTTGCCACCTAACTGCCCCCTTGACAATGTCTTTTATTCCTTTTCTTTGGAATTCCTCCTTGGTTCTGTGTATCGCACTCTGTTCAAACCCACCATGATCTTATTCATTTCCCCATGAGTAACATTCACTTTTACATCTTTGGAGACTGTTGGATTCCAGACTTCTCTGCCTGAAAGCGATACCTATTGACCATTGAAAGTAAAAAGATGGACCTTTATTTGCAGGGAACCTTGGGAGCGTTAAAGGGACTTTGAGATTTCCCGAAGGCAGTCCAGCTCCACTTCCATCTCTGCTCACCCCTGTGGTAGAGGAGACCCGTCAGAGAATACGAGATGAGGATGACGGAGCTCTTCTCTCCGGGTTCTCATAGCGCTGTCCTTTCCTTGTTCTCTTCCTCCTTGCCTGACTGCTCCTACTCAGTCTCCTTGGCTGGGTTTTTACCTCGGCTGCACCTGCCAACTGTGGCTGTCTCCCAAGGCTCAGTCCGTGGTGCTCTTCTCTTCTCCTCCCTCTATAGTATTTTGTTTGGTGATCTCATCAGCTCCTGTGAGTCCCATTATCATCCCTATACTGGTCACTCTGAGATCTACTTACCCAACCCCAATCTTGTCTGACCTCCAGGATCACGTCTCCTGTGCTTATTGGAAACCTTCTAGTGGATGTCACATAGACACCTGAAACTGCGCATCTCCAAAGCTGAACTCCTGCTTCCCTCCCCCTCATCAAAGTCCCCCCTCTTCCAATTCTTAGTATTGTCAAAGGCACCACTTGTCACCGAGGCGCACTGTCATCCTTGACTCCTTTCTTTCTCTCACCCCCCATAAGTCCTATCAATTCTATCTTCGCAGTGTCTCTCCTCTCCCGTCCTTCACTCCTCTGACATTGCTGCCCTCTCCTGCCGGCCCTCATCACCTCCTGCCTGGACTGTTGGCACAGCAGCTTCTGGTCACTCCGGTCCATCCTTCGCTCAGCTGTCAGATGATTTTTTCCTAAAACACAGATCTGATCATGTCCCATGATTCATTAAACTCCAGTGGCTTCCTGTCACTGCCAGTATCAAACAGAAGATCCTCTATTTGGCATCCAGATCCCTGCGTAACCGGCCCCCTCCCCCCCACTACCTTCCTAATAGTCTTGCTTCTTCGTGATCCAGTGACACTGGCCTCCTTGACACGGACACTCCATCTCTTGACTGTGCCTTTTCTGCTTTCGTCTCCCATGCCCAGAACTTTCTTCCTGATCCTGCCTTCTCTGAGAAGCCTTTCCTGATCCCCCTTAATTGTAGTGCCTGCCTTCTGTTGTTTATTTCCGATTTATTTTGTGTGTGTGTGCACGCGCTCGTGTTTGTCACCTATTTGTACGTGGTTGTTGGCGAGTTGCCTCCTTCTGTTAGATTGTGAGCTCCTGGAAGGCAGAGTGGGCTTTTGCCTTTGCTTGTATTCTTGGAGGTTACATAATAGAAGGCACTTGATCAATGTTTGTTGATTTGATTTGACTTAAAGGATGGCTCTCCGTGGATGGTGAGGTCCTCTCAGTGTTCCTGTTTGTGAGCAACGTTGTCCTGGCTGCATCAAGCCCTGGAACATGTTAGAGTCTTCTAGAAAAGAGCTGCAGGCATCTAAACAGTTTGACCTGATGGTCACACAAAGAAAGGACCAGGGGAAGAATACTGTCTGTTGTCCAGATTACGTGATGTGTGTGGGTAGGCAGCCTACAGAGCTTGTCAATCAGTGTCTGGGACAGAGGATAGGTGGATGTGGCATTTGGCCTGGAATCATGGCTCACATTTCCTTGGAATACAGGAGGGTCTGTTTCTGGGATCCTTTATACCACCCTCTGCGTTTTCTCTGCCTTCTGCTTTTCCGTGAGTAGAGCTGAATCCTTAGACGTCTTTCTGTTCTAAGCATTTTCTCATTTTTCTTCCCATATATAGGAATTCCTGTCTCCACGATGGACATGATCTCCCTATTGGAGAAGCGGGATGCACCGTGGATGCCAGAGGGAGAAGCCTTCAGTGGCAGCTGTTCAGGTGAGTGAAAATCAGGATGGGCGTCGTGGCAAGCAGCCTCCCGCTGGGTCAGTTAGGTGCTGTGCTTTTGTAGTGGCATCACCAGGGTGTGACCGTTTTATGGCTCTTCTGTGTGTTGCTTTCCAGAAAGATGACACCACATAATAGCTCATCTCCCCATAGCCCTGTTGGCATTATATTTTGAAACTCGAATTGAATGGATTTGATGTATCCAAGAAATGTATACTTCTGAATTCTTGCAATTATTGGAGATTAAGAAAGGGTGGTTTTTTTTTTTTTAAGGCTTTTGTTTTTTGTTATCATCTTCAAAAATTCTGCTCTTTTCTTTTTAAAATGATCTTTTCATTTTTATATCATCTTTTTTCTTCTGTTAAAAATTTCTTTTTGTTATTCTGAACTTAACACCACCAACTGTGAACATTTCCGTAGACAAAGAACTGCAAAAGAGGACATCATATGAAAGGTCAAATCTACCTCCTTCAAGTTTCCAGGGTTTTAAAATGATACGAGAAATTCCACTCTTCGGTCTCAAAGCTGTTGTGCTTGTTTGTTTCCCCCTAAAAAGAAAGAGTCCATTCCTTTTTAGGTATCCCTCTCAGTACCTCACTATATATCCCCCACGCCCTCCATAACAACCAAAATTGACCAAGACAAATTCATGCGCTCGCCGCCATACCTGAAAGTAAATGTGTGCCTCGTTCTGATTTTTTTACATCAGTTTTATTTTCAGATATATTCCTCACTGCTCTCCTCCCCAGTGAGTCATCCATCCATCCATGAGTCTAGAAAATTAACCCATCAGTTTAGTCTGACAGTACAAGCTGTGCTCCATGTTTGTTTCACATCACTGTGAAGAAGAGAGGCAGTAGTCACATTGTCTCATCTCTTCTTTAGGGCTAAGCTTAGTTATTGTAACTATATGGTGTTAAGTTTGGATTCCATTTATATTGTTGTATTCATTGAATATTTTGTTTTCTTGGTTCTGCTTCATACTGCATCAATTCATGTCTTCTCTTGCTTCTCAGAATTTTTTGTCATCTTTATTGTTCCTGTGGTAGTGATATTCAACTATATTCTGATACCATGATTTTTAAGAACATTCTCTCTGATCAGTGAGCATTGACTTTGGTTCTAGCTCTTTGATACTATTCTGTTAAGTGCTGTTAGGAATATTTTGGTGTATATGGGACCCTTTCTGTCTTTTACTTCCCTGAGGTATATACTTAGTAATGGGATCTCTGATTCCAAAGGTATACATTTTCTAACCTTAATTCCAGACTAGAAGTCCATTCTGGAAAGTTCCAGAATGGTTGAGACAATTCACAGTTCTACCAGTAGTGTGTTAGTGTGAGCGTCTTTCCATAAACAACTGAGAAAATGACTAAAACGTGCATACACTTTAGCCCATAGACCCCACTACTTGGCATATATCCCAAGGATGTCAAAGATAGAAAGAAGGTTCCCCTGTATAGTTCTGCTTTTTTTTTCTCCTATATTTACCTTGAGGTTCTCAACCTTTTGTTCTTCAAATGAAGTTTCTTTGTGGTCTGCATCTATAAAAAATGCCCTACATCGTTGATTTGTGGAGCAATAAATTCATAATTTAATTTAGGTAATATATTAACACTATTAAATTACCTCCAAATGAACAATACAGATGACATACATTTATGTATATACATATACACACAGCTCTCTATATTTCTCTCCATTTTAGTGTTGTGATTTTTGTGCATAGTGATTTCCTGCTTCAGTTGATTTCACTTTGCCTCGGTTCATATTGTCTTTCCATAGATAGATAATATAGGTATTATCTCCTTAAGAGATCTCTTGCCACATTGACATTGAATTCTTAGCGACTACACTTTGAGACCAGTCAGTTCTGAATCCATTTGATTATGTTCTGTCTAATCTGTATTTCTCCATCTTCCCCACAAGAAAAACAGGGCATTTTTTATCAAACACTGCTAACTTCTAGGTAAAGTATACTTAAAACATTCCCCTCATCTACTATTTTAGTAATACTTGGGATAACCTCTTTAGGAAGCCATGCTGTCTCTTTTTAATTACTGCTTCTCTGTCTAGATGTTTGCCACTTATCTCTTGAGTATGTTCTGGAGTTTTTTCAGGAATTGAAGGGCAAATTTAGTTTACATTCTGTTCTTTTCCTCTTATTGAAGGTTGGGTAACATTGGCCTTCCTTCAGTCTTATGGTCAGTCCCCTCCTGTTTTCCATGACTTTTCAACTATCACTCATGGTGGTGATATACAAACAATATACAGTAATATAGTAATATTAGTATCAGTAATATACAAATAACAGTAACAAATGCAAAAAAAATCACTATTTCCAAGTCAGATTTGTACTTGAGATATAAGGATATGTCAGCATTTGGGAAACAGTACAATCATATATTTTTAAAAATCACCAAACCTTATGAACATATTAATAATTATATGCTATAAAAGCCTTTGAAAAACTGTAGCATCTATGCAAAAAAAAAAAGACATAAAAAAAAAGGCTTGTGAGGTCCATTTTTTCATATTATGTAAATTATATACCTGAAACCAGAAGCTAACATTATTTGCAGTAAATAAATACATATGTGTCTATATGGCATCATCTTAAAATCCAACTAGCTATATGCTGGGGAATCAGTATTTCTGTTATGCTTTGTGTCAGTTCCTTATAACTTTTAGATATTTTTTTAAAATACGTTTTTATTTTTGTTTTTATGTTACCTTTATTTCCCGTTGTAAAATCTCTGCCCCTCCCAGAATACCATCTCTTATAATAAAGTTTTTTTTTAAAGAAAGAAATTTTTTTGGTTGTTGTTGCAAAAGTGAACAAAGTAAAGTCCGATGTTATGCAGGATAACCTCATCAGTCCGGTGCCATTTTCCATGATAGCTTAAAACACCCCCTGTATCTATTCTGGGGAGTATTTGGGGATACTCTGTATGTATTCCTCCCCATGGTAGGAGCAGGGAGTCTTTTCTCAGATCTTCCTTGAGGTCGAGCTTGGATGTCATAATTTCTCCACATTTGCTTCAGATGACTTTATTATTGTTCTTTCTGTTTATGTTGTTTTGGTTTTTGTGCACATGGATTTCCTGCTTCAGTTGTCTTCACTTTGCCTAGTTTTCATTTTTTGTCTGTCTATGCTTCTGATTATTCTTCACGTTCATCGTTTCTACAGCACAGCAATATAGATGGCTCATATTTTAATACTGTTTGAAGATTTTTTTCCCCTAAGGCCCTTCATTAGTTTCTTTTTTTACTTTAATTTAAATTTAGTTCACATTGGCAAATACAGATTCTTAGCTATATTAAAAAACCAGGATTTTTTGAAAAGTGCTATGTGTATTTAAGGTGATCAGTTATAGTAGCAACATCCTCCTGCTCACCCTTCTTGCTTAGCTTCATAATGCAGCTTTGTTGATATTTCTGTTATCTTTATGTAATGGGCAGTGTGGGTATTTCTCTTTCCCTTCTTACTTGCTCACTTTCACCGTGGTGTAGAAGCCTTCTCAGATTTCCCGGATTCTTCTCCCTCATCCTTCTGATGAATAGTATTCCATTACATTAGTATAACATGGGGCAGCTAGGTGGCAGAGCAGATAAAGCGCCAGACCTGAAGTCAAGAAGACTCTCCTGTTCCTGAGCTCCAGTCTGGCCTCAGATGCTTCCTGGTTACTTGATGTGGGCAAGTCCCTTCACCCTGTCTGCCTCAGTTTCCTCATCTGTAAGGTAAGCTGGAGAAGGAAATGGCAGCCACTTCGGTATCCCCCAAGAAAGCCCCGAATGGGATCATGAAGAATCAGATAAGAGACTGAAACAACACACAACAAGAACATTGACTTAGCATGCTCGGCTCCCCTGTTCTCCAGTACTCGGACACTCAGTTTGTTTCCTAGTCTTTATTCTAACCAGTGACTTGGCTCGGAAGAGTATTCCCAGGTTTCTTTTCATTCCTTGGATCATTGGCCTAGAGCTGGAAGGAACTTCAGGGACCCTCTGGTGTACCTAACTTCACAGTTGAAGCAACTGAGGTCCAGGGAGGTTAAGTGTTTTACCCGGTTTACCTGAGGTCACATGGGTCATTAGGAGGCACAAGTAGCATCTGAAACCAGGTTCTCTTGCTCCAGAGCTAGTGCTCATTCTGCTGTGACATATTGTCTCTGTTCCTGTCCAGATGTCATTTCCCTCCCCCCAAATAATCATTTTTAAGATAAGAACTAATAATTGTAAAGATTTCCCCCAGTTCTTTTCTTCGTTATTCTGGAAATATTAATTCTTGTGGAAAAGCACTTTATTTTCATATTATCATTGTTCTCTTATAATGTCTTTTTTTTTCCTGTAATAGATAAGAGTATTTTTTTTCCCACAATTGTTATTCATGATTATCACCTTCTCTAGTTGTGTATCACCTGGGACGCCAGGAGTGTGTCACCTGCTCCCACCCTTGAACCTGTACAAAGCTATCTTAGCTACTATATACTTGATAGATCAGAATCCTCTTTGAGACTATTGCACAGGAAGTCCCCAATTAATGTATTTATTTTTACTAGTTAGCCTGTAGAAACCCTTAAAGCAGAGGCATTCAGGAAATTTGGTAATGATAGTAACAATATGCTCCATGTAACTTTTCCACAAATATCTACCCACACATTGGATTTCCACAAATACACAACTCTCATTGGAAGACTGGTTTGGATAGGGATCTCTTGTGTGCCATGTATACATGGGGAACCCATGTGGTCATGACACCCATATGGATGGCCTCTAGCTGTGAATTCATATGACTAGGATAAATACATAGAGGGGCATCTCATACCTCTAAATTGTAGTGTTGCAAATGTCTTCCACTGACGTTGCCATATTTCTCTCCACTGGACATCAGTTCTCTCCCATTCTGTACTGGGCATTGCTTCTCTGCTACTCTCCTCATTGCTTATCATCATTCTTAATCTTATCAGATGATCTGCTGTTTGGCCACACCTACCCTGTTTTGTGCCTTTCAAAATGAGTTTTTCAACTGAAATGGAGGACTTGACATTTATATATATTACATTAGTTTCAGCCCATTGTTTTAGCCCGTTGATATCTTTGAATCCTAATTCATATTTGTTGTTAGCTATCCCTTCTAGTTTTGTGTCATTTATAAATTATATTGGCTAATCGTATATTCCTTCATTCAAGTCGTTGATGTAAACAGGCTGGTATTTTTTAAAATAATGATCTCATATTACATTGAATGATAATATCATTAATCAAGGCAGGCGATCATGTTTAGGTTTTTGCCATTTCTTATTTTTGTTGAAAACCTTTTGTAAGTCGAAAGGATATTTGACATGATGCCCTTTTGGGTGGCTTTTAAAATCATATTGTAATATTGTAGATGGACAAAAAATAATGGTTTTGTCTGAGTTGAATTTGGTGTAAACAGAAATTTATTGAACTAATAAATACTAGGTTTAATCTGCTTTTTCCTGATATTTTTTGGAAAAATGAAATAGACCTTCCTGAAACATTTTTATCCTTTGAAATTTTGAGGAACCTCAGTAATTCTTAAGTTTTTCACAGTTGCTCAGATTTCTATCACTTTTGTCTGCATAGATTCCAAGTTGAATAAATATCCAATTCAGTAATTTTCTGACCTAATTTCCTTTATCCTGTGTGCTTTTGTACTCATCCTTACTGCCAATGATACTTCTGTTTTTTATTGTGTTGTTTTTAATGACCTCTATAAGTAGCCCTTTATGTAATTCATTTAGTCCTGTTCAGCTAGTATCTTCTCATCTGTTCTTGGTATTATTTCACTTGGACAGTGAGACCTTGGTTTTTGTTACGATTCATATAAAGCATAAACTCCTGAGGAGGAGGCCTTTCCTGGTTCCCACATCTGCTAATGCTTTTCCCTTGCATCTGTTTTATATATATCTTATATATCCAATTTATGTCTGCATTGTTGACCCCATTAGAATCTAAGCTCCTTGAGAATAGGAACTGTTTATGTTTTTTCTTTGTATCTCCAGTACATAGTAGGAACTAAATATATGTACAAATTGAACATCAGTCTCAATAATGAGACAGAAACTAGAATTTGCTCTAAAGAAGATTCTGTCTCTCAGAAAAGCAAACAGTGACTAAGGACTTTAAAAACATTTTTTTTTTCAGATTCCCTTAGTGAGAAGACCAAGTTTGAACCCAGAGATTCAAATCCAAGGCAGACCTTTTGCATGGGAATATCATCCAAGATAAAACTGCACAAGGGTACAGTAGCCTTGCATCCCAAGATGAGAGAAGCCGGTGAACGTGAGGTTAATGTAGAGGAGCTGAAGCACAACCAGGAGAGACAATGGAGGCAAGGAATAGGCACTCCCAGAACGATTTGTAATCAAATGAATGCACCTCAACACAATGCTAGAAATAGCATTCTAATGTCAGACTTGGTTGCAGCATCAAAAGGGGTAATGGGAGAAAATCTCTATAACTGTAAGTCTCTTGGAAAGAGCTTCAGGGGTGATTTTCCTTACTTAATTACATATGATGCATTGTCCCTCCAAAAGGAACTTTTTAAGTATACCAATTGCACGAAGCCCTTTAGATACCGTTCAGACTTAATTAAATTTCATAAAATTCATGTTGGAGAAAAGCGACACGAGTGGAATGAATGTGGAAAATCCTCTGGCAGAAGGTCAGATATTATTAAACAACAAAGAATTCATAGTGGAGAGAAAAGCAACAGTTATTATAAAGATGAGAAAGGTTTCAGCCATAAGGGAAGCTTGAATAAACATAATGTAATTTATACAAGAGAGAATTCTTTTGCGTATAATGAATTTGGGAAAGCCTTCAGTGGGAAGGAAACCCTTACTTCACCTCTGAAAATTCACACTGGGGAGAAAATCTCTGAATCTAATGCATGTGAGAAAATTTTCAGCCAGAGGGGAAGCTGTATTAGCCAGCAGAGAACTCATACTAGAGGGAATTCTTTTGTGTATGATGAGTGTGGCATGAGCAGAAAGGAACAGCTTATTGTGCATCAAAGAATTCATAATGAAGAGAAACCCTTTGCATGTGATAAATGTGGAACAGGCTTCCAAAGCAGAGTAAGCCTTATTGCCCATCAGAAAACTCATTCTGAAGAGACACCCATTGCGTGTAATGGATACAGGAAAGGCTTCAGAAAGAGTGGGCATCTTACCACACAGCAGGGAATTCATATTGAAGAGAAACCCTTTGCATGTCGTGAGTGTGGGAAAGCCTTCAGACAGAGTGCATATCTTGTTATCCATCAGAGAACTCATACTGGAGAGAAACCCTTTACATGTAATGAATGTGGGAAAACCTTTACCCAAAAGGCAAGCCTTATTACTCATCGGAGGACTCATACAGGAGAGAGACCCTTTATATGTAATGAATGTGGGAAAACTTTTACACAAAGGGCAAACCTTCTTACCCATCACAGGACTCATACTGGAGAGAGACCATTTGCGTGCAATGAATGTGAGAAGACCTTTACCCAGAAGTCGAGCCTTATTACTCATTACAGGATTCATACTAGAGAGAAACTCTTTGCTTGTAATGAATGTGGGATTGCCTTTGCCCAAAAGGCAAACCTTGTTGTTCACAGAGGAATTCATTCCAGAGAGAAACCGTTTGCTCCTAATAAATGTGGGCAAGGCCCTCAAAAGAAAAGACTTATCCATCGGGGAACTCATACTGGAGAGAAACCTTTTGAATGTAATGAATGTGGAATAGGCTTCCGATACAAAGTAAACCTTAATATCCATCAGAGAACTCATACTGGAGAGAAACCCTTTACATGTCATGAATGTGGGAAAGGCTTCAGACAGAGTGCACATCTTATGACCCATCAGAGAACTCATACTGGAGAGAAACCTTTTGCATGTAATGAATGTGGGAAGACCTTTACCCAAAGGTCAAACCTTAATAGCCATCAGAGAACTCATACCCAAGAGAAACTCTTTGCATGTAATGAATGTGGAAAAACGTTTACTCAGAAGGGAAGCCTTGTTTCTCATCAGAGGACTCATACTAGAGAGAAGCAGTTTATATGTAATGAATGTGGAACAGGTTTCCTACACAGAGTAAGCTTTATTGTCCATAAAAGAATTCATACTGGAGAGAAACCATATATATGTAATGAATGTGGGAAAGGCTTCAGACAGAGTGGACACCTCATGATCCATCAGAGGACTCACACTGGAGAGAGACCCTTTATGTGTAATGAATGTGGTAAAAGCTTTACCCAAAGATCAAACCTTACTAGTCATCAGAGAACTCATACTGGAGAGAAACTCTTTGCATGTAATGAATGTGGGAAAGCATTTACCCAAAAGGGAAGCCTTATTACTCATCAGAGAACTCACACTGGAGAGAAACAGTTTGTATGTAATGATTGTGGAACAAGTTTCCTTCATAGAGTGACCCTTATTATCCATAAGAGAACTCACACAGGAGAGAAGCCATATGCCTGTAATGAATGTGGAAAAGGCTTCAGACAGAGTGGACACCTCATTACCCATCAAAGAACTCATACTGGAGAAAAACCCTTTGTATGTAATGAATGTGGGAAAACCTTTACACAAAGGGCAAACCTTACCAGCCATCAGAGGAATCATACTGGAAACAAACTCTTTACATGTAATCAATGTGGGAAAGGTTTTACCCAAAAGGCAAACCTTAGCACACATCAGAAAACTCATGCTAGAGAGAGAACCTTTGTGCATAACGAATGTGAGAGAACTTTTACTCGTAGGACAAACCTTATTAGCTATCGTAGAACTTCTGCAGAATGAAAGTCCTTTATGTGTAATTAGTACAGAAAAGACTTCAGCTAGAGGAGATATTATGTAACAGAGAATTAATCCTGGGGAGAAACTTTATGTAACAAATGTGGGAATGCTTTCAGTGGAAGGGGATGCCTCCTTGTATATTAGAGTACTTATACTGGAGTAAAGCATTTAAGTGTAATAAATAGAGTTGCACCAAATGGCTCATTGTCACTGTATTGGGTGGAATACTGAAGGTGTCTGCTTCGCTGTGGACTGTATAACATTTTTACAATGGCTTACATAAATGGCATACTCATCAGATTTTCAAATGACCTAAAACTGGGATAGATAGCTAAGAGTGAATAAGAGAGCTAACTAAAACTGACATCATTGGACTGAAAGATGAAATTCAATAGTGATAAATGTAAATGCTTAATAATAGGGTACAAAAAATCAACTTCACAAATGCATGTTTATTAAGCACTTACTATTTGCCAGGCTATAGATATAAAGAAATATAAAGTAGTTGTTGGCATCAGGGAATTCACATTCAAATAGAGTAGACAGCTTGTAAACAGATAAGAGATATAGACATAAGATATAAACATAAGAGATATATACAGACTAAATGGAAGGTGATCTCCCATTCTTAGCTGGAGATGAGGAAGGGGATCATTCCAGGCATGGGGCAACTAAAACAAAACCACGGTTAAAGATGATGGAGTGTTGTACGGGTGAGCAGTTAGCAGGTAGGCCAGCATAGCTGCATCAAAAAGCTTATGGAGTAGAGCAAAGTGCTCATTGTAATCAGAACTGTCTGTTTTCTGTGATCTTCTTTATCCCTTCTTTGGTCATCAACTCTTCCCTCTCCATGGATATGAAAGGTAATTTCTTCCTTGTTCCTTTAATTTGCTGGAATTTCACCCCTTATATTTAAATCTTGTATCCATCTAGAGGTTTTTTTGTTTGTTTTTTTATTTTGTTTTGTTATACAGTGAAATGTTGACCTATACTTAAATTTCTCCGCAATTGCTTTCAGGTTTCCCAGCAGTTTTTGTCAAATATTGGGTCCTTATTTTAGTAGTTGGGGTCTTTGGGTTTATCACAAATACACTCCTTTATCTGTTTACTTCTCTGTGTTGTATATTTAATCTATTTTTTAAAACAAATACCAAATAGTTTTAGTGATATTGCTTTGTAATAAACACTACTTTTTTGCCCTTCTGTGTGTCTCCAGCACTTAGCATACAGTAGGTGCTTAATAAATGTTTATTGACAGATAACAGGTAACATTTAAAAAAAAAGATCTTACTTCTCCCTACCCTCATTGAGCAAATTAAAAAAACAAAACCAAAAACTATCCTTAATACATGGATGCATAGTTTGGCAAAATCAATTCCTGTATTGTCCTTGTCTGAAAATGTATGTCTTTGTGCATTTTAAGTTCATTGCTTCTCTGTAAGGAGGTGAGTGTTGTTTCATATTAATTTTTGGAGTTGTGAGTTGTAAAATCTTTGAGAATTGTTTTTCTCCATAATGTCGTCATTGTAAAATGTTCTAGTTCTGCTGACTTACTTTGCATCAGTCCACAGAGATCTTCATTGTTTACTCTGAAACTGGACATTTCACCATTTGTTACAGCAAAATAATATTCCATTACATTACCACAATTTATTTAGCCACTCCCCAACAGGAGGATAATACCTTAATTTCAGATTTTTGGCTACTATAAGAAGACCTGCTATAAAGATTTTTGTAGATACTGAGCTCTTTCCTCTTTCTTTGGGGTATAGGCCTACTAGTGGTCTAGCTGGGTAAAAGTGTATATACAGTTTGGTAATTTTGGGGACATAACTGAATTGTTTTCCAGAATGGCTGGATCAATTACCAGCTCCATCATTAGTGCACAAGTGAATCTATTTTCCAACAGCCTCTCCAGTGTCATTTTCCACATTCTTCTTTGATAGTCTGATAAATATGAAGTGGAACCTCAATGTTGCTTTAATTTGCGTTTCTCTTAATTGTTAGTGATTTAGAACATTTTATATGATTATTGATAAATGAGATTTCTTTGAGAACTGCCCACTCATATCAAGGAGCTGAGTCTGATGTAGGACATTTGCATGGGGCATTAGCCCCCCCCCCCCAAAACCTGTCAAAGTAAAAGCCCCTGGCATTCGAAGATGAGAAAAGCCAGGGAATGTGGTGCCAAGAACTAGAGAAGGAACTGAGAGAAAGAAGTCATCATCACCACTCCCAGAACATCTTTTTTTTGGAAGAAGTTTTAGTCTGGAGTCAGTCTTTATTGTGCTATGGAGAAGGAACTATGAGACAGTGTGTCCATAAATCTAAAATACTTGGAAAGAACTTTCAGAAGTAATTGCATGTGATACATTCTTCTTAGGAAGCAATAATGGCTAACATTTGTATAGTGCTTGCTAAGTGCCCAGCTCTGTGCTAAGCCCTTTTGTAATTATCGTTTAATCTTCACAACAACCCTGGGAGCTGCTATCTTTGTCTCATTTTACAGATGAGAGGAAACTGAGGTGTACAGAATTCAAATGACTTGTCCAGGATCACACAGCTAGTAAGTGCCTGAGGCTGGATTTAAACTGTGCTACCTAGCTGCTCAGTATCACCTGCAGAAAGCCCTTTAGTTACCACGGAGACCTAACTAAATTTCATAGAGTACATTCTGAAGAAAGTCCGTATGAATAGAATGAATGTGAAAAAAGCCTTTGGCAAAAAGTCAAAACTTATATTTCAAAGTAGAGCCATGGTCAAAGGGAAAAAAAAGATCGTGTCTTCTCTTACTAGGCAGAAGTCTGCCAGAAACCTCAGTGTCCTGGCAGATTAAATCTGCTTGATGTTCACATCTCAGGACCTTCTCCCCTCCGACTGGAGATCAGGCCCATGGACTTCAGAGCCTCTGTTTAAGAAAGGGGCTCATTACAGACTTCTCCCCATTTCCACCAACTGCTTCCCTTTTGGACATCTCTGTCATGCCCCCATGCCTGGTGCCTCCATCCCCTTTTCCCTTCCTCTTCTTTCATCTGCTTTTCGTGTGTTCTCTTCCTTCATTAGATTGTAAGCTACTTGAGGACGTGGCTTTTTTTTTAAACTTGTATTTGTATCTCCAACACTTAGCACAGTGCCTGGTGCATAGTAAGCATTTAATGTTTATTGTCTGATAGAAACAATTTTTATTAATTTGCTATTTTAAATCCAAGCATTTCTAGCATAAATGTCCAAACTGACATAGTCCTCTTTCTGTTCTCAAGACATCTCCTCAAGGCAAGTTGATGTAACATTTATAGAAAAGGAAAATGTCACAAAGTTATAAAACAGCTCTAGGTTCACATTCTATTTCGTCTAATAAATCTGGTCACTTAATCTGTCAGAAATCTGCTGGGGAACTGTCTTGAACTCATTCCTCTTTGCCCACCCCCCTCAAGGGCTTCACCTCCATCCCTTAGCTGGTCACTGGTAACTTGAAGTCCCCTCTGATTAACACCCTAATCTCTCCAGGATTTGGGAAGAGAGGGGGCAATAGGCCACTCACTTCAGGGGATGGGGAAGGCAATGATCTTAACTATAAGAGAATTCAATTTAGTCATTGCCGTTAATCCACTTTCTGAGGAAGATTCTAGCTTTTGTTCTTGACCTTTTACTCAATCTTCTAACAGGATTAAGGCAGACTATGTGCCAGGTACTGTACTAAGTGCTTTTAATTGGAGAGACCAGGGAGGTTTCACAAAAGTCTTCGTGTCTGGGGCAGCTAGGTGGCACAGTGGATAGAGCACTGGCCCTGAAGTCAGGAGGACCTGAGTTCAAATCCGACCTCAGACCAAACACTTGATATGTACTAGCTGTGTGACCTTGGGCAAGTCACTTAACCCTGATTGCCTCATTAAAAAAAAATTTAAAAAAAGAAAAAAAAAGTCTTGGTGTCTGAGGTTAATCTTGAAGGGAGAGATTGCATTCAAGGTAGGAGAGGTGACTTGGGCAATGCACCAAAGTGGGGTATGGAATGTTGAGTCTGAAGAACAGCTGATGGTCCAGTTTGACTAGGATGTAGAGTGCCTAATGTGGAGTGATATGAAATAAAAAATGGAAAGGTAGATAGGGGACAGATTGGGAGCTATCTTGTTTGATCCTCACAACAGTCCTGGGAGGTGCTAGTATTATCCCTGTTTCACAGTTCTAGGAAATGGAGGTAGACGAAAGTTAAGGGATTTACTGAGGGTTAATTAGCCAGTAAGTGTGGCCAGATTTAACTGATTTTCTGACTCTAGGTCCAGTACTCAGTCCACTACATCGCTAAGCTTGGACAGAATTGGATAAAACATTATTTCTTAATGTTTTCAGTTGAACTAAAAATGAGGTTTTTACATGCTTCTAAGCATTTCTACAGCACCCCCCAGCTGCACTCCTTTGGATCTCTGCATCATTCTCCCCAATACCTTTTTACCCCTTCCCCTTTTCTGCTTCCTTTTGTATATTGTCTTCTCCCTTTAGATTGTAATCTCCTGGAGGGCAAGGACTGTCATTTGTATCACTAGTGGTTAGCACATATGAGGCACTTAAATGTTTGTTGATTAGTTGATTGATTGAGATGCACAGCCACATTAGAAAGCTGTAGGCCCTTCACCTTCCATGGCATAAAGAAATCCTCCTCATGGAGAAGTCAGGCAGACATGCACAGAAGGAAAAGCAGCTGCTTTGTGGATCTGGACTCCGTCTTGGGTTTGCTGAATGGGGGACAGAGAAATGGCTGGCAGCCTTTGTCACCTGATGGCCACTAGTGGAGGGTAGCAGAGATGAGGAGTCTAGACCCAGAATCGAGGTGCCACCTGATTTGAGTGATACGTACACCCAGGACGATTGAGCAGGTGTGTAGCTGGTAGGACATCCAGACTCAGGCCACAGCCTTTGCTTTCTTCCTTTCCTTCCCAGAATAATTGCCAAGGGAAGTTAATATCCCTGATCCTGCTTTCCTAGGAGATCTTGTTTCTCATTTGACAAGTGAGAAGAGGTGGGAGTGGGGAAGAAAGCTATCCCTCCTCCACTATTTGTCTGCAGGCATTATCCACCTGCAGTTGGAAGACTTCTTTTATTTTATTTATTTGTTTGTTTTTTAGGCAATTGGGGTTAAGTGACTTGCCCAGGGTCACACAGCTAGTAAGTGTCAAGTGTTTGGTCTGAGGCCGAATTTGAACTCGGGTCCTCCTGACTTCAAGGCCGGTGCTCTATCCACTGCGCCACCTAGCTGCCCCGGAAGACTTCTTTTAAAGGCTCATTTGGGTTTCTATATGAACTGAAGTGCTATTAGATAGTATTGCCCTTTACTGTGCTTTTTGCCCATTACATGTTCCATTCAGAATTTAGAAGAGAGAATTCTTTTGTGAAGACAGAGTTAGAAACTGAGTTGGTTCCCATCAATTGGGGAATAGCTGAGCAAGTTATAGGATATAAGTGTGATGAAATGCTATTGTGCTGTAAGAAATGATGAAGGGGATGGTTTCAGAGCGACCTGGTAAGACTTGTATGAACTGATGCAGAGGGAAGCGAGCAGAAGAACTAAGACAGCAATTTATACAATGACAACAATATAGGAAAGATAAACAACTGTGAAAGACTTAGAAACTCTGATTAAGGTAGGGACCAACCATGATTTCAGAGGACTAATGATGACCTATTTATCTGCTGATAGAGGAAAAATACTGAGTACAGAATGAGACTTTTTTTTTTATGTGGACTGCATAAAATTTGGAATTGACTATACACATTTGTAACAGGTTTTGTTTTCTTCCTTTCTCAATGGGGGTAAGTGGTGGCAGGAGGTAAAGAAGGTAGATTTTTGCCGATTGAAAAAACAAAATTTGATTAACGAAAAATTTTTAAATAGTTTGCTGATTTGAGAAATATTTTTTTTTCTTTTATGTCTTTATTGTAACACCAGAATCAACAAATGAAAAAGCATTTACTATATGCCAGGTGCACTGCGCTGGAGATAGGAATACATAAAGGTAGTCCCTGGTCTCAAAGAGCATACATTCTCAGAGACAACACATACATGTGGCCAGCGAACAGAGTTTTAGTTTTGGCAGTCATAGGAAATGGTACATTGTTCCATAAGACAATCAACTGATATGCCCTTTCCAAAAACAATGGGAGTATAGATTTTATTACTATGCTCACAAGAGATTTTTTTCCTGATTTAATTTCCCGAGAGAAATTAATGTTATACTGTTACATTAATAACTAATTACTAATGTGTGATCCATCCTCTTCTGTTAAGGTCCAAATCCTGGAGAATGATGGAGAGATCAAATCAGTCGCTGAAGGGCATGGCTGAGTGCAGACATTGCTCCTGACCTCCAAAGCTTAGGCAGGATTCCACCCAACTGGGAAAACCAATTTCATTTTATAGTCTGGTTGTCTGTGCCTAGGGAAGGAAGCCCCTGTCCTTGGTCCCCTCCACTAGAGTTATGGGCAGCCCAGCTCCTGAAGGAGAAAACCAGCCCGTGTGGACCCATCTGGTCCTGGGGACTTTTTCTTGGGGAGCTCATTTATGGCTTGTTCAATTTCTTTTTCCAAGATAAGGTTATTTAAGGATTCTATTTCCTCTTCTATTAATCTGAGCAGTTTCTCTTTTGTAAACATTCATCCATTTCACTCAGATCGTCGGGTTCATTGGCACATAACTGGGCAAAATAGCTCCAGACCCTGGCTTTGATTTTCTCTTCATTGGTGGTGAAGTCACCCTTTTCCTTTTTGACACTGGTTAATTTGGGTTTTCTTCTTTTTTCCTTTTTTTTTTTAAATAAAATTAACCATCGGTTTATCTATTTTGCTTTGTTTTTATAAAACCAGCTCCTAGTTCCATTTATTAGTTCAACGGTGTTACTACTTTCGCTTTTATTAATCTCTCCTTTGATTTTCAGGATTTCCAATTTGGTGCTTAATTGGGGATTTAAAATTTGTTTTTTTTTCTAGTTTTTTTTTTTTTTTTTTTTTTTAGTTGCATGCCCAATTCACTTATCTGCTCTTTCTCTTTGTCAGTTTTACTGATCCTTAAATGTTCAGAGGGAGTCCCTCGGAGCTAGGGACACAAACCCGCGAAGCCTCAAGAAGCTCACAAAACCTGCGCCCGGCGCGCAGACGCAGACGCTCTAGCGTAAGAAAGCGGAACCACACTGCCTTCTGGGGGATGGAGTCCAGGTGAGCGCGTGCCCGGCAAGAGCCTTCCGCTTCCGGACTCCATTTCCCAGAAGGCGCAGCGCGCCCCTCCTGTTGCGTACTTCCTCTTGACCTTTCCAGCTTGTCCCTAGCGCATGGCCGTAGGGCGCGACGCATTGTGGGATCGTTCTTCCGGTGTTTAGAGTCGGGAGTAGAGGGCCGCCATCCGACCTGGGAAGTCCGACTTCCAAACTTGGACTGTTGGTGCGGATCCGAGGGGCCGAGCCCTGCGGGGGAGGGAAGGAGGGGAGAGGGAGTGCGCAGGCGCGACGACCCCTTCTCCAGCCCCGCCCCCGCTGCGGCTTCCTATTCTAATTGATCCTATGGGGGGAGGGGGGCGTAAAAGGGCCATTAGACACGCGCGCCCGCGTGAGCGACTGTGCGTGTAAGTGTCGGAGCTGGGCGGATCAGGGCGCCCACCCCCTTCTACCCCAAAAGGGCCCTCGTTGGTTTTGCAGAGGCCCAGGGATGGGGCCGTGCGCGTGGGCACAGACACTCCCCACGCGCGTGTGCACACACCCACGCCGTGCTCACGTGCACACCACACCCAGAGGCATACACACCCCGCTTACCACATACACCATACACCCCCGCCCACAGCAGAAGTGCACACACCACGCGCGCACTTACCCTGCCCCACACACGTGTGCACACTGACGTACACACCCATTTGCACACCCACGTGCACACGCGCCAAGCACGCACTGCACCGTCTACACACTGTCTACACACGCTCATAAGATACCCCACGTGCGCACACACATCTGCTCACACTCCCCCTCACACACCCCAGGGGCACACAGAGCTTGCTCGGGCCCCTCCTGCTGCCTCCCTTCCCACCCTGGCTAGTGTCCTCGAGGGCCTGGGGTGGGGGTCCCGGCTGAAGTGACCTTGCTTCTGAGCCCCCAGGTCCCAGCTTTCCGGGAAGGGGAAGGCGGTGGAGGCTGCCCCCCGGGAGGAGGAGCTCCCCACGCAGCAGCCCCCCAAGGGGAAGGAGCCCCCCACGCAGAAGGAGCCCCGTGTCTCTAGCTCCAGGGCAGCCTGTGGTGAGAGCCGGCCCAGGACCCCGCCCGCCTGGTCATCTTGGCCGTCCTGGCTGAGCAGAGAGGGGGTGACCATGGAACACGTGGCCGGAGTGCTCAGAGGGAGAGGTGAGCATCGGCCAGCTGTGGGGAGAGAAGGGAGTGAGTCCGCAGGTCCCCGGTTCTGGGGGTCTTCCTGGCCTTTGGTCTGGCCTGGGTCAGCCAGGCAATGGGCCCTTAGGATTCCGCACCCATCAGCGGCCTGCATGCGGCCAGAGCAGAGACCGAGGGGGCCGAAAGAATGACCGGTGAATGACCGGTGCGGACCGTGCCTTTGGCAGCTCGGGAAGAGGAGAGGAGCGAGTAGGGGGCAGCGACCCAGAGGAGGCCTGGGGGGCGTCGAGGGGGGCTTTCCTCGGCAGCCGCTGGCCCACTTCTCTACCTCCATCTTTGTCTTTGTCCAGGTGCTCTCCTTCCCCGAGCCTGGGGTGCAGAGGCTGAGGCCTGGAGGACTTCTGGGGTCCTCCCCACCAGCCTTTGGGTGAGTTGTGCTCGTCTCTCTTACGTGTCATCTCGTGCCCTGTCGTTTCTGGCGTTGGATACAATGTCTTGCCTTTATCTTGGATGGTGTCAACTTTACCCAAGTACCCCGAAGGACCTGAGCCTGGCGACCTTTCCCAGAAGTTTGCGGTTTTAATGGATGATACAGCGTAGGCTGTGTGTGTGGGTGTGTCCAAATGGCTGTGTAAATATATCCACCAGTATGTGTAGTATACCTGCTCACATGTAAGTTATTATAGCGAGAATGTCACTATTATAAATGGACAAATTGTAGATTGTATGTATAGACTTCGATGAGGAGTAGTTTCTGTTCTCAGTGTTATTAATTATGCAAATTATTTCTCTGATGTTGAATTGACCTTCCGTTGCTGGTATAAATCTAACTTGATTGCAGTGATTGATGTTTTTGGATAAATTGTTGTACCACTTTTGCTAAGATTTTCTTTAAAACTTTTAGATTGATATTTGTTGGTCTATGTTTTTCTTTCTTTGCTTTATCCTTGCCTGATTTAGGTCTTAAGATTATATCTAGGGGCAGCTAGGTGGCGCAGTAGATGGAGCACTGTCCTTGAAGTCAGGAGGACCTGAGTTCAAATGCGGCCTCAGACACATAGCATGCACTAGCTGTGTGACTCTGGGGAAGTCACTTAACCCCAATCGCCTCACCAAAAAAAAAAAAACAAAACCCAAAAACAAACCAGGCCCTACCCTGAAGGATCTTACAGTCTAGTGGGGGAGACAACATGCCAACAGATACAGACAGAATAAGTAGGAAAGAAAGAACAGAGGAAAAGCGATGGAATTAAGAGGATTGGGGAAGGCTTCCTGGAGAAGGTGGGAGTATAGTCGGGACTTAACGGAAGCCAAAGAGGTCAGTAGTGGGAGTGAAGGGAGGGCATTTCAGACCTGAGGGACAGAGACAACGTCTGGAGCCAAGAGATGCAGCCGGGAGGCTGCTGTCTCTGGATGGAAGAGTCCGTGTTTATGGTGTCAAAAGACTGGAAAGGTGGGAGGGGGCTGACTTAGGATGGATACCAGACAGAACATCTTATATTTGCTTCTGGGGGCAATAGTGAGCCCCTAAAGTGGCCCAAGCAGACCTTCACGTTAGGACAGTCCCTTTAGGGTCTGAAAGGAGGATGGACTGGAGTGGGGAGGGACCTGAGACAGGCAGACCCCCTGCCGGTACGGGCCGAAGTCCGGGTGTGAGGGGATGAGGCCTGCACCCGGGTTGGAGGAGAGAAGTGGGCAGATTGGAGAGATGTTGCACAGGTGAGACTGACCAGCCTTGGAAACAGGTTGTATGTGGGGACTGAGAGATAGTGTGGAGACAGAATGACACCCAGGTGGTGGGCCTGAGGGCCTGGGAGGATGGTGGTGCTGTGGACAGTGATGAGCAAGCAAGGAGGTGTGGGGGAAAGATTAGAAGTGAGATGTGGACATATTTAAAAAGGTCCATGAAATTCTATCGCAAATTCATCTTGGACCAGAAAGTTTCCATCCCCACCCTCCTTTGGATTAGTTTAATTAAATTTTGTGAAATTTGGATTATCTTAATTTGGAAATTAAATGGGAATCTTAAATTTCTCTTTGCTGTTCCCTTAATTTGGGTATTTTATTCTTTTGCAAGTAATCCTCTATATCTTTTTGAGTGCTCAGGGTTTTTTCCATATAACTGTGTATGTAGTAGGTTCTGATAATTCTTTTTATTTCTTCTGTTTGTTGTGGTTTCACCTTGTTTTTTTTAGAATTAATTTGATGTGCTACCCTCTTTTTAATCATATTGTCTAAAGAGTTATCAATTTTGTTATCTTTTCAAAAGGTTTGACTTTTTAAGTTTTTATTGATCAGTCTTCGGTTTCTATTTCTATTTTAATTTTGCTGATTTCCTTTTTTAGGATTCTTTTAGTTTTGTTTATTTATTATCTTTCTAGTTTTTAAAACACATATTTAGTCCTGTCTTTTTTTACTTAGTTATTGTGTGAGTGAATGAACAAATGCAAATGCATTTATTAAGCTCTTCCTGTGACTAGACAGATGAATGGGATGGACCAGTGAAGCCTTGTTTGATGTCTAGGAATACTCAGTAAACACAGCAGGCTCTATGCACTAGTTTGGACACACATAGTCACTAGTCAGCTGGGTCGGGTCCTTTACCCGGAGGCATAGACTTCATAAGACCCTGGCGTGGAAGTCGGGTGTCGGGTAGAGTTGTAGAGGGAGTGCTGGCTGGGGGTGAGTGCAGGGTTCAGGAGCAGGTCAGTGGCAGTTTGTGAGAGGTCTTGGGTGGATGGTTGGTTATGATTTTTCTTCTGCGTACTGCTCTAGCTGCATCTCAGAAATTTTGGGATGTTGTCTCGTTGGCGTCATTTTTCACCTAGTTGTTCATTGTTTTTATGATTTATTCTTTGATCCACTCATTATTTAGGATTTCATTATTGAGTCTCCATTTAGGTTTGTTTCTTTTGCTTGTGCTCCCTGACTTTATTACTATTTTTATTTCCTCATGGTCTCTAAAGTATGTGTTTAACATTTTCTTTTTATAAACATTTATTTGACAATGTTCAAAACTCCTGAATGCAAGCTGAATCAAGTTAAAACGCATTTGGAAATTGTTTAAAAAATTAAATAAAAAATACGCCACAACATAGTGCTAATTTGTGGTTTTCTGAGTCAGTATGGAGCCCTTCTGTTTGAGTTTGGGACCCACTGCCCTAAAGCATAGTCAGTATTTTGATGAAAGTGCTATCTAGTGCAGAAAAATAGGTATATTCTTAGTGGTCTCATTCAGAAGGTGCCGTAGTTAGCTCTTAATTATCTAACAGTTTATTCACCTCTGTATTTCTCTTTTTGTTTCTCTTTATTTTAAATTTGTTCATCTATGTGAGGAACCCTAAATTCTCCTGCTTATTTTACACTGCTATCTTTTTGAAATGTGGTTAATTTTTTCTTTATGAGTTTGGATCCCATGCCAGTTGGCACATAAATGTTCAGTGCTGATGTGGGTTCATAGGATCATTGATACAGAGCTCAAAGGGACTTCAGAGGCCACTGAGACCAATGCCTTTATTTCCTTGACTGTAAAATGATAACCTCAAGGCCCAGAATAGGGAAGAGACTTAGGATCACAGGAACAGAGGATTACGGATACGTAAGGAGAAAGGACCACAGAGACCATTGATTCTAACCCTCTCATTTTACAGATGAGCAAACTGAGGCCCAGTGACAAGGTCACATAGGTCGTAAGCATCAGAGATAGGATTTGAACTCAGAACTCCAGACCCTTTCCCCTGTTCTACCTCTATGCTTCCTTTAAATAGAATATAATTTCCATGTTTATCTCTGTTGATATTGTGGATTTTTATTTTTGCTTTGCCGAGTTGCAGAATTGCAACTCCTGTTTTTCTTTCCTGATCCACACGATAGATACATAGTTATTTTTTTTCTAGCTTGTTTTGATTCTGTTTTTCTTTTTTTAGGTATGTTTTGTGTAAGCCACAAATTGTAGTCGTTTTTTCTTATTCATTTGTTTTATCCATTTATCTTTCATTTTATCGGTTTAATCGATTCACATTTGAAGCTGCGACAGTTATGTTTATGTCTTTCTCCATTCACGTCTCTAGTGTTGCTTAAAAAAAGTTCAAAGTCCCTCCTCCAGCTTCTTTTGGGGGAGGGCGGCTTTGTGCCTTTTTCTAAAAAGAGTTTCTTTGCTTTGTTCTCATTAATCTCTCTTGCTTTCTGTCCAGTCTGCACTTTTCTTCTCTGATTCGTGGCCTCCGTCCGTCTTTATTTCTTCTTTGATCTCTTTGTTTATTAATGCAGTTAGAGCTTCTGAAGGACCAGATTTGAGCTGTCATTTCTGAGCAATTTGTATGTTCCAGATCTTGCCCCATCATCTTTTTTTCTGCCTCGTTCTCAGAAACATCAATTCACAAGGGAAGTAATAGAGATAGGAGCCAGGCCCAGTGGTAGAAGTTGCTGCATCCCATGTCTTTTGGTATGGCTCTACCTCTTGCCATCCCCAGGATCATTCTCCTTTCCTTTGACTGAATCCCTGTTCTCCCATCTTTCTCGGCACTAGCTGTACCTAGCTTCTGCTGTTTCTTCAGGCGAGATGTTGAGATAACACAAGACTCTTCTGTATCCTCTCAAAACTCCAGAAGGTAATGAAATGATGTAGTCTGAAAAGCAGAAGAGGTCAAAGTGCCACAGCGATGCCGTCCTGAAAACCTGAGCCTCATTATTGACACAGACAAACAGATGTTCAACGAGATATTGGGGTTTGAGACATCCTGAAAACAGAACAAAACCAAAAAACTGATGTGAGCAAATATTTGGCTTGCAAACACCCCAGACGCTAACACAGCAAAGGCACAAGAATGCCTTCTAATAGTCTTCTTTGAATATGCTATTGTCCTGTTCAGGCCCGACCTAGCACACTGGAGAGTCTCCCAGGTTCAGATTTTATTTTTATTTTCGGTTCCGGCTTCTCTCCCTCCCTCCACCCGTTGAAGAAGAGAGTCCCTTAAAAGACACCCTGGAGAATTCTGAAGAGTTTGATTCTTCTAGCCCCGACAGAAAAACCGAGGTGGCAGAGAATGCTGGCTGTCCAGAATGTGGTCTATAAATGACACACGAGGAGAGTGATTAGAAGAAAACAGGCTACTTCACATGTGGGAAATTGGACAGTGCCTAGCATGATTCCACTTTCTGCCTGAAACAAAATTCTGTTGTTTAACACCGCTGTTTTTCTGTTGATTCATTGCTGCGATGAATCATAGAACATTTGTGAATGCTCAGAACTAGGAACTAGGTCAACAAAAGGACAGTAGGGCACATGTAAACAGACCTCAGCTTGTTTCTTTCTTTCTTTTTTGGGGGGTGGGGTGAGGCAGTTGGGGTTAAGTGACTTGCCCAGGGTCATACAGCTAGTAAGTGTCAAGTGTCTGGTCTGAATGCAGGTTTGAACTCGGGTCCTCCTGACTCCAGGGCCAGTGCTCTATCCACTGTACCACCTAGCTGCCCCCACAGCCTACTTCCAGTGAAGAATTGTGCATAAGAATATAAAAAACATACGACTAGAAAATGGTGGGGGAGAGAAGGAGGATGCCTCCTGCGCGCCCGCGTTGTGCTTTACAGACCTGATCTCGTCCTGTGAGATTAGTTATAAATGCGGAACAAGGGATGAGATAGACAGTCCTCAGTGTACCTGTGTGCAGCCCTTGTATAAAGACAGACTTGGAGAAAGGTCTTGGCACTTTGGTTTGGATCCAGGCTGAGGAGGCACCGATGTCCGAAGTCACCTGTGGAGGGATGAGCCTCGTCACAGAAGTCACGGATCCATTGAAGTATCAGTAGTCCGAGTATCTCCCTTAGGATGTAATGCGCTTTGTAGGCGGTTAATAAGTGTTATATAAAGGGGGGGAGGGGTCAGATCTCCATTCTAGGGCTCCACAGTGCAGCGGAGGTGGCCATCTCTGAGAGAGGGCAGAGTACTCTTGGTGGTTGAAGATGACCTTCCAGCCTGAGAGAGTGTTTGTGGGACCCTGCCTCCCTAGTCAGTCTCCCCAGAATATAGAGTTCAGAACGAAAGTGGTGGCTGAAGTGTTGCTAAGTAGAAATTAATACGATTAACGTTGGGAACAGGACGGCTGATGTTAGTGCTGTGCGTCTGGTGTTTGTTTAGAGCTTAGGGATAATGTGCGTGGTTTTCTTGGGGTTCACTTAAGAGGATATATCAAGGTAAACTTCATCAATCAAGAACACAGTTTCTGTGCTGCTGAATTAAGTACAAAATGAGGCCCAGAGCAGTAGCTAATGAGAAAGTCGTTGAAGTAGAATCCTCAGAACTCGGAAGGCTCTGGAACTTTTCCTTGATCGCCTACAACTTTGTGTCTCTTGAGGCATGAGTTCAACAACTAAAGGGTTAAACAGGAGTTTTTTGATTCAGGAATCTGTGACCTTCAAGGATGTGGCCGTGGACTTCACCGGGGAGGAGTGGACACACCTGGAGCCTGCCCAGAGGGCCCTGTACAGGGACGTGATGTTGGAGAACTATGAGAACCTGGTCTTTCTGGGTAAGTGTGTCTGTCCCCTGGGGAGTCTTGGCGGTCTTCCTTGTAATTAGCTGTGAGTGACCTGAAATGTTGAGCTGAGTTTGGGCTGTTCTACTTGAATATTCAAGGCCGCTTCTCCCATGGCAGAGGATCCCTACTCTTTTTTTTTTTTTTTTTTTTTTTGGTGAGGCAATCAGAGTTAAGTGACTTGGCCTGAGTCACACAGCTAGTAAGTGTCAAGTGTCTGAGGCCAGATTTGAACTCAGATCCTCCTGACTCCAAGTCTGGAGCAGTATCTATTACATCACCTAGCTGCCCAAGGATCCCTGCTCCTTATGGCCAGTAGAGATAATGTTTTGTTCCTTCTTCCTGGGTGAAAAATGTCCCAACGCTTCATTCTACTAGCCCTGAGGCTGCAGCATCGCTGCTCCCTCCAATGTTTGCTAAAATACCAGAGGAGTTTGGAGGCTGTCTCCTCCAGGAGGCCTGCCGGGTCCCTTTCCTCGGGATTTCTGTGGGTACTGTGGTATTCTGCTTTGTACGGATTTCCTATTCCCTAGGCTGGAAGCCCCAAGAGGCAAACAATCCTGTCTTAAAGTTTCATCTTCCCCTTATGGTTCTCTACACACAGAAAGTACTCAGTAAAGCGTGGTGAATTACAAAAGAAATTCCCCTTCCAGGCTATTGGTCATAAGTCCTACTTTTGAGGACTTCAGGGGGTCCCTATCACTCTTAGATCTTCTGCTTGGCATTCAGAGCCCCTCACAGTCCAGCTCCTACCTTTCCTGGCTGATCCACATTTCTCTCCTTTGGGCATTCTGCAGCCATCAGAAAGGGCTCTTTTGCTTTTCCTCCTAGAAAAGAGGATTGTACATTAGCCTGTGAATAGCATATACCATTTGCTTTTCCTTTTATGTCAGTAATGAATTCAAGAGGTTGCTCTCAAAGCTGTCCTGTTTTGCTGTATTTTCTTCTGCTTTCTCTTGTTCATTGTAAAAAGGCTTCAGTGACCATCCTTTCTTTGACGTCTCCACACACTTGTACAGATTATCAACATATTTCGTATCTACTTATATGTATAGATGTTTTTTCCTTCAGCAGAATGTCAGCTCCCTTTGGGATAGTGATTTTTATGCCTTTCCTTTTTATCCCTAATGTCGAGCACAGGCCTGGCACATCCTAGGTGCTTGGCTAACATCATTGATTGATTGAAATGCCTGAATCTCAACTGAGATACAAGGAAAAAAGGTCTTAGCCTGTAAGCATGGATTGGGTCCAGTGAAGTAGGTCTGTAGATCGCACACCCTCGGAATACCAAACACGTGTGTGCACTGCAGGGGTCCTTTGCATCACACTGTAGGCCTCTCAGCTGCTTTCTTTTCCATAGCTAGAACTGAATTCTTAGATAGCTTTCTAAGCTCCCTTTTCAGCACTTTATCATTTCTGTGCCTATATGTAGGACTTCCTGTTTCCAAACTGGATGTGATCTCCCTGTTGGAGAGAGGGGAAGCCCCGTGGCGGCCCAAGGGAGGAGGCCCCCCAGGCCCTTGCCCAGGTAAGAAAGTGAAAAGTGGCAGGTGGGCATCATCTCCACACTGAGCAAAGGCAGCAGGTCCCCAGTAAGGCGGCCTCTGCCATGTTGGACTGTGTGTGGCCTCTCCTTAGAGTCCGTTAGGGAGTGTGGAAAAAAATCAGGCATCTCCTGAGCTCTCTCTTTCCTCTCCTGTTTCCCTGTCTCAGGGAATGAGGTATGTGTTTCTTCTTCTGTGTTGTAGAGTAATTTAAAATTTAGTAGCTGTCAATAAAAGAAGTAAGATTAAAGAATTTCACACTATCTTTGGTTTTGACTTACCTACATTTCCAGGCTATTTCTTTCTCTTCCCGGTAAGGGGGAGAATTTAAAAGAACGACAACAAAAATCCCATTCAGCCAAACCAGCCACGACATCCTAAAAGTCTAAGGCTAAAATCAGTTTTCTACTCTCGTGGTCTCCCTCCTCTCGTGCCTTTTGGTACCAGGCTGGTCAGACAGGCCTCAGAAAATCAGGCACAAAAAGAGCTGGTTGTGGGAAAAGGTCCCAGCTTTTGGAGAGAGAATTGCTCTTGGCTTTTTCCATGACTCTGGGAAGAGGGGCTTTCTCTGTCCCCCCCGCCACCCTATCAGCAGCGCAGCTTGCTCCGTAGCCCACACTGTGTGCAGGGAGGGCTTGCCTGGGCAGTACACTTGTGGAGCTGGATGGGATGGCTAAGAAGAGCAGGCCAGGGCCCAGGGAAGCAGCAGGCTCTGCAGGGATGCTTCACCCCGTGGGAATCGATGTGGATACCGCAAGAACGGAGGACCCAGAAGGGCCCCGGCAGTGTCAGAGGGAGGAGCTGCCTCAGTCCCATGTGGTACCAACTTTGGGGATTCTCTCTCATGTACTCAGGCATCTGCCTATTCTTTTTTTTTTTTTTTTAAGGATTTTATCAAAGTTTTTTTGTTTTTTTTTTACATCATAATTTCCTCCAGTATCTCTCTCTTTTTCCCTCCCAGAGAGCCATCTCATATTACAAATAGTATCTTTATAAAGACCAAAAACAAAAAAAAAAAGAGGAGAGGAAAAAAAATCAGTACAGTTTATTTATACATTAAAAAAAAATCCACTTCTCCCGCTTCTGCCAAGGGGTGGGTGGGGCATCTTCTCAGAGCTCTTCTTTTGAGCCATGCTTGCTTTTTATAGTTTTACAGCATTCGCTTTTGATATGTTTGTGGTTCTTTCTGTGCGCCTTGTTGTCATTGTACATATTGTTTTCTTGTCCTTACCTTCACTTTGCATCAGTTCATTTTTATCACATGCATCATTTCTTATAATAGCATAGTGGTATTACATTATATTCATGTTCTGCAGTTTGCTTAGCCTTTTCCTAATCAATGAGTATTTACTTTCAGTTCTTTACTGTTACAAAAAATGCTGCTATAAATATTTTGGTGTATATGGGGCCTTTCTTATCAATGACCTGCTTGCAAAATAAGCCTAGTAATAGAATCTCTGGGTCAAAGAGTATGGATATTTTATTTAGTTTACTCAAATAATTCAGTTGGCTTTCCAAAATGGTTGTACTGATTCACAGGTCCACCACCAATGCACTAGTATACTTGTCTTTGCACAACCTGGCCAGCATTGACTATTGCTTTTCATGCACCCATTCTTTCCACTGATGTAAATCTTAATAGGAGTGTTCTCATTTATGGGTGAAAAGTTTCATTGCTGCTATTGTTATCAGGCCATCTTAGTGAATGCCTTTGCTTTAAGTTTATTGTGTCTTCTGGCTGATTATCAAAGTTAAGCACACTGGTAGGGGTTGATGAGCTATCCAATAGTTTTAGGAGTCTGGACGCACAAAATACCTTGAACCTGGAATAGTAATGCCTCCAAAACCCAGCTTTTTTTTTTTTTTTGGTGAGGCAATCAGGGTTAAGTGACTTGCCCAGAGTCACACAGCTAGTAAGTGTTATGTGTCTGAGTCTGGATTTGAACTCAGGTCCTCCCGACTCCAAGACTAGAGCTCTATCCACTGAGACACCTAGCTGCCCCCCAAAACCCAGCTTTTGAGTTCAAGTTGGCAGGGTTGCCAGTAGGGGGTACTGTACTTATTTTTGAAAGAAACTTTTAAGTCAAATTGCTGTTATCTGATTTGTCATGCTTTTCATCATGGCCGCTTTTAAGACCATCTCTTGTTATGTTTTTGAAGAGTGACAAAAATGTGTCTGGTTGAGTTGAATTTGTTGTTTACTGCTTTTGGTATTCAGTGAATGTCTTTTGTCTTTTTTTCAATATTTTGAGAATTTTTTTAAAAAAGTTTTCTGAAACATTAAATAGATTCTGAAATATATTAAAGAGTTTTTTTTTAACAATATGGGGGAAAAACAGCAGTTCTGAAATTTTTCCTAATTTCCCAGTTTTCCAGGTCCATCAATTTTAGCTGCCTAAATTGCAAGTTGTTTTCCAGCTCCCATTTCAAACCTACTTTTTCCCCTTCCTGTATGGTTTTTCATATATTTCCCTGAAGAAGATATTTCAGCTTCCCATGATTGTTGTTTTCTTAGAATATCTGTGAGTGCTTCTAGTTCCCTTGGATGTCATTAATTTAGTACTTAGTAGCCTGGTATTCTTAGTATCTTCTCCCGTTGTTGGCTTTAATTCCTTCTAAGTAGTGTTCTACCTAGGTCAAATTGTGTCTTGTTCTCTTGATGAAAGAGATAGAAACTAGAACTTACTCTAAAGAAGTTTCCTTTCTTTCATGGCCAGCAGTGGCCAGTAACTTTTTGAACATTTCTTTCAGATGCCCTTAGTCAGGAGACCAGGTTTGAAACCAAAGATGCAAGTCTGATAAAATGCATTTACATGGGGGAGTCATCCAAGATGAGATGTCCAGTGAATGTTCCCTGGCATTCCAGGACAACTGAATCAATGGAACCAATGGAATGTTCTGCTAATTTAGAGATACAGAGGGACAACCAGGAGAGGAACTCCAGACTAACAACAGCCCCACAGAGAACAACTTGTAATGAAATGACCGGACCACATTGTATGACTTTGGAAGGAAATTTTAATCTGGCGTCCATCTTTGTTCCATCATGGAGAAATCCTGTGGAGAAAAGTCTCCATAAATATAAGACACTTGAAAAGCAAGTAAAGGATTTTTCCAACCTACTTATTTGCAGTGCTTTTTCCTTAGGGAAGAACCTTTCTAAGTATGATAAATGCAAGAAGCCCTTTAGTTACCACTCAGACCTAATTAAATTTCATAGAACACATACTGGAGAAAAGCTCCATGAGGACAATGAAAAGGGAAAAACCTTTGGTAGAAGATCATGTGTTACTGGATGTCCAAAACTTCAAATTGGAGAGAAACATGAATGTCACAAATATGGGAAAACCTTTAGCCACCGAAAAAGATTGATTAAAATGAAGAAAATTAATATTAGAGAGAAGTCCTTAGAATGTAATGAATGTGGGAAAGTCTTCAATGATAACAAAATACTTGAAAACCATCACAGAATCCATACTGGAGAGAAACCTTTTGAATGTAATGAATGTGGGAAAGGCTTCAGCCAGAGAGGAAACCTTATTACTCATCAGAGAACTCACACTGGAGAGAAACCATTTGAATGTAAAGAATGTGGGAAAGGCTTTAGTCAGAGGGGAACTCTCATTAGCCATCAGAGAACTCATACTGGAGAGAAACCCTTTGAATGTCATGAATGTGGGAAAGCCTTCAGTGAATGGGGATCCTTTAATAGACATCTTAGAACTCATACTGGTGAGAAACCCTTTGAATGTCGTGAATGTGGGAAGGGATTCAGTCAGAGGGGAACTCTCATTAGCCATCAGAGAACTCATACTGGAGAGAAACCCTTTGAATGTCATGACTGTGGGAAAGCCTTCACTTCAAGTAATGGACTCAAAACCCATCAGAGAAATCATACAGGTGAAAAACCCTTTGAATGTCATGAATGTGGAAAAGCTTTCAGTGAGCGTAAAGTACTCAGAATCCACCAGAGAACTCATACAGGGGTGAAACCCTTTGAATGTAATGAATGTGGGAAGGCCTTCAGTGACAATAATGTCCTCAAAAGCCATCAGAGAACTCATACTGGAGAAAAACCTTTCGAATGTCAGGAATGTGGCAAAGGCTTCAGTCAGAAAGGAACACTTATTAGCCATCAGAGAACTCATACTGGAGAGAAGCCCTTTGAATGTCAGGAATGTGGCAAAGGCTTCAGCTGGAGAGCAAGCCTTATTGCCCATCAGAGAACTCACACTGGAGAGAAACCCTTTGAATGTAATGAATGTGGGAAAGGATTCAGACAGAGGGCAAACCTTACTACACATCAGAGAACTCATACTGGAGAGAAACCTTTTGAATGCAGTCAATGTGGGAAAGCTTTCAGTAAGAGTAATATTCTCAAAACACATCAAAGAACTCATACTGGATTGAAACCATTTGAATGTAATCAATGTGGAAAGGCTTTCAGTGATGGTAATGTTCTCAAAAGCCATCAGAGAACTCATACTGGAGAGAAACCTTTTGAATGTCAGGAATGTGGGAAAGGCTTTAGTTGGAGGGCTAGCCTTATTACCCATATGAGAACTCATACTGGAGAGAAACCCTTTGAATGTCACGAATGTGGGAAAGCCTTCAGTGAGTGGGGATCATTTAATAAACATCAGAGGACTCATACTGGAGAGAAACCCTTTGAATGTCATGAATGTGGGAAAGGATTCAGACAGAGAGTAAACCTCATTACCCATCAGAGAATTCATACTGGTGAGAAACCTTTTGAATGTAATGAATGTGGAAAAGCCTTTAGTGAGAAGAGACACCTTATTAGACATCAGAGAACTCATACTGGAGAGAAATCTTTTGAGTGTAATGAATGTGGGAAAGCCTTTGTTGAGAGGGGGTCCTTTAATAGACATCAGAGAACTCATACTGCAGGGAAATCTTTTGAATATAATGAAAATAGGACAGCCATTAATCAATGGGGAACCCTTATTAGCCATGAGTCAAGTCACACTGGAGAAAATTCTTTGAATATATTTAATGTGGGAAAGGATTCAAACAGAGGAGAAACCTTATTATAAGCCTAACAGAAGACTTGGTTTAGAGGAAAAAGTGGATATCGGGGAGGCTTCAGGGAGAAAACAGGCTTATTAGACATCAGAGAATTCATAGGGGAAAGAAATTTTTTGAGTATTTTATGTATATGTATGCATTAAAACTTCCAGCACCAGTAAAACAACTTACGTAGTGACTACAGTAATGTAAAACAACCTTGAAAATTTTTGGAAATCTAATCAATGAAATGATAATTTACATTGATTCAGTTGTAATCAGTTATCAGAAGGCTAATTGGCAGTGAAGTCACTGATTGTATGTTCAGTATAGGAAATAGATTTTCCGACACAGCCAAGGGGACTTTGTTTTGTTTAACTATGCTTATTATCAGAGAGGGCTTTTATTTGGAGTAGGGGGAGTTATCAGGGGAGAGCAAGAGGGTAGGAATTGTTGTTCAGTTGTGTTCAACTCTTTGTGAACCTATTTGGGGTTTTCTTGACAGAGATACTGGAGTGGTTCGCCATCTCCTTCTCCAGTGAACACCGAGACAAACAGGGTTATGTGACTTGCCCAAGGTCACCTAGCTAGCAAGTGTCTTAGGTCAGATTTGAACTCAAGAAGATAACTCCAGGCCCAGCGCTCTATCCATTGTGCCACCTAGCTGCCTTGTGGCTAGTAGTAATAGTGATGCTTAAAAATCTGTGTCAGTGAAATATTTAAAAATGCAGAGAAGAGAGCAGAAAAAGTTTCAGACAAGCAGGGATTATTTATTTCTCTTGTGTTAAATTTAATATTTGCTTAAACTGCACATAATAGGATTTCAGTTTGAAATACAGTCTTTTTTGTCCTTTGTATATGTAGTATTGTAATAAATTTTTGAACAAAATAATAAAGGTTCACAATTTTATATGCAATCTTCTTTTTCTGTTCTATATATCTTTATGTTTAAGATGATAATAAAACAATTTTAATGGAAAAAAAAGAAAGCATTTAGCCAGATGATCTGCCTCATTTATCATCACAGCATTCATGTTGGAGAGAAATGCTGTAAAATGTTATGAATATGGAAAATGCTTCAGCCCATCCCAGGATTCATACTCAAGAGAAAAATTAGTGTTCCAGATGGGGAGATGCAGGTCATGTGTAAGGATGGCTGGGTTGCTAGGTGGGATGAGATGAGAAGCATGTTCTCGTCAGGGGTCAACTAGCTAGTAGACACTCACCAACTTAAAAAAATAACCACAAACCACAGCCCTGGGATGACAAGAGTCCTGAATTGGAGTGTACTGACTTCCGTAGGTACTGTGCTCATGGTTTCTGGAAGTGCAGCTTGGACAATGCTGTTCCAAGCGGAGACAAGGAGAAACAGGGAATGATGGCTGGATGAGATATGAAGTGCCATCATGTCATCCACGCCATTCGGTGGTCATAGTTGCCGATAAGGCCTTTTGCAAACCTTCAAGTGCTCGCAGGTAGTAGTAGGAATGGTGGTGGTAGTTAATGGTCATTATCATTGTTCTTGTCATTCTCCCATGGTTTTAATTATCATTTGTATGCAAATGACATCCAGAGATTAGGGTGTGTGTGTGTGTGTGTGTGTATTTGATAGATAGGTATCTTAAATTCAACAGTGTTCAAAACCAGCTCTTTATCTTTCCCTCCCAAAACCTTCCTCCCTTCCAGACCTCCCCCTTTCAGTCAAAGGCGCCATCATCCTCTGATTTTTCCAGGTTTATACCCTTCTCATGATCCTGGACTCCTCCCTTTTCCTCACCTCACATATCCAGTTAGTTGTAAAACTTGCCCTTTCTACCTTCACAACACTTTGGAATCCATCTCTCTCTCTCCACTTTGGCCCTCATCATCTCGAAACTCAATTATTGAAACAACCTTTGAATGGGGCTTCCTGTCTCAAGGCTCTTGGCCCTCCAGTGTGTTCTATATGCTGCTTGCCAGAGTAATTTTCCCTAAGCACAGATCTGACCATGGCACTCTCCCCATTCAACTCTAATGCTTTCTTCTGCCCCTATGATAAAATAGAAACGGTTTAGCTTCTTAAGCCCTACATGACCAGGCTATGATTTCTCTCTACAGTTTCAATGGACATTATTCCCCTCTTGTACTCTTATGATTCAATCAATTGACCTTTGCTTTGTTCCTCACACAGGACACTCCATCCCTCTCTTCCTGCCTCCCTTACCCCTTTGCCTTTATACTGATCATCCCACATGCCTGAAATGAATCCTCTCCTTACTGTTGCCTCAAAGGTCCTCTCTTTCTTTAAGAGGAAACTCAGGTTGTTTCTGATTCCCCAGCTGCTACTCACTGCCTGAAAGATGGGTGAGGGACTCAGAGCAAATTAAAACAACTGAGGGGTCAGCTTGGTAAAGTGACATAGAAGGAAAATGACAGGAGCTGTTGGAAGACAGACATACTCATGCTGTGTTGGTGGAACCATAAATTAGTTCAACCATTCTGGTAAAACTCTTTGGATCATTCCCCGCCCCCCCCCCCCCAAATCATTAAGTTGCAACTATCCTTCGACTCAGTGATAGCACCGTTGGGCATATTAACTCCTCAAATCATGAAATGTTATTGTGCTGTAAGAAATGATGAAAAGTAGAGAATCGGAGAAACCAGATAAAAGCTGGAGACCAATTCAATGATGACCATGCAGGCCCTGGGCTTCCCACAAATGCTGACAGATTGGGTCCCCAGAGCACAACTACTACTTCCCTAAAGATGCTAGGGTAATTTGGTGGGTTTAGGGAGTGATTTCTCAGATGCTTTTGTTCACAGGCCCCACCAGTGTGCTCCCCTATCGATTATCAGTTGATACAATTAACCAGTCAGGTGTGTGAGAGCTGCCCCCCAAGTCCTTCCTCTATGCTACATACAACATAAATACAAAATAAATAAAAGGTAGTTTGGGGTGGGGGTGTTCTAGCAGCTTGGGGGACCAGCAAAGGTATAGATGATGGCACTTGGCAATGAGCTGACTGTTGAGAGGAGCCTGGGATTCCATGGGTTGAAGTGAGAAGGAATTGTTTTTTTCCTGAGAGATGGCCCATGCCAAGGTACAGAAAAAGGAGTTTGAAGGTTATGTATGGAAGTAGGCCAGTGTGGTGGGATCACAGACTGTAAGGACAGAGTGAAGTGAGTAATAAGTCTGGAGAGTTAGGAAGGGACGACCTTATGGAGTATTCTAATACCAAGCAAATGTCTGTTTGGCTCTAAAGCCCCAGAAAGCCATTGGAGCTTGTTGAAGGGAGGCAGGGACTAATTTTGATACCCTTACTTTAATCAGGTATTTACTCAGGTCATTGTGATTTAATGGTATCAGTGATTGAAAGTGGAATAGAGTTAAATTTGATTTAGTTTCCATTGTAAGAATGAGTTATGTAGGCTATAATTAATCTACCATGTATTGAAAAATATATGAATTGGATTGGATTTATCAGATAGAGTCATACTGTATTAGTTTAGGCCTGTTATATGTATTTATTGGTATTTACACCACCACCACCACCCACCCGTCCTTACCAAGTGTGCTCTGCTTGACGTAAGGTTCCTAAGCCTCAGTAAGACCCCTTCCTACCTGTGAATCGCTGCTACCATTCCCAAGTGACCTTTGCTTTAAAACCACAACTTTCTTGGTCCCTTAGGAAACTGTTGGCAAACACTAGTGTTCGGTAGCCTTTGGAAAACCCTCCTCTCAGTGTTCTTGAACCCTAGAATGCTGCTGATAAGTGAATGGCCCAGGGCCTTGGGGTCTTTGGGGTGGGTCCCCAACTGCCTCTGATAAAAGAGTTATGATTGTTGGATGGTGCCCTTAACCAGTCATAGGAGTGCCCCTGCTTCTGAAGATTAGACCATCATAAGAGTTTCTTTGCTTCTGAAGAGATGGACTAGGGACCTCCAAGGGACTCCCCAAGGTCTATAAAACCACTCAGCCTCTGAGCACTGAGGTCCTTGACCTTGAGGAAGATCTTGGGTCCAATTGCTTAGGGACCATAGGTCTCCCTAATAAATTGATCAATCATGCTCAGAGCTCTGCCTCAGTGACTTTGGTTACAGACTGAATTTTGTGGCCCATGTATGATCAGATCTTTCTTGCAGGAAAATCAATTTAGTAGTTGTGTGAAGGATGACTGGAATGGGAGAGGTTTGAGGCAGGGAAAACAAGTAGTATTCCCAGTGAGAGAGGACGGTAATGGCTTTGTGAGTGGAAAGGAAGAGACATAAGTAAGAGTTGTTGTGGAGATAGACACGGCAAAATTCAGCACATGGTTGGACGTGGAATGAATGAGCAGGTGAAGGACCCGTAGTGAGATCTCTGCAGATATCCTCAGTCCCCCGTTCACCGATGTCTTTGGTCTCCATGATCTGTAACATCATTTCAGCCAGGCCACACACAGCCATGTTCATCCCCTTGATCTTACTATCTCCATAATCTACAGCTCTGCAAATATTCTTCCAGGCCATATGTTTCTTTAAATTTTGAACTTAAACACCAAAAAAGAACATTTCATATATACAGCAGACATGAGAGGATTCTTTAGAAAGCAGCGGGCTATATATTGTGGTCCTTAGTTCTTGAGGAGGACCCAATTGACATCACCATGCTAGAGTCAGGTTACAGTGTGTCCGAATGTGGCTGATCAGACCACACGAGCTTAGAACGCTCTGCCACAGGTCAGGCACAAATAGTCCATGTGAACATTTGGGCTGGAGTCTCTAAATCTGTGCATTTCGCATTTCTTTTGAGCTCTTCAATTCTGCTTTGCTCAGAGCATAGCACCTTCTCTGATGGGGGCACGCCATGCTGAGCAGTCCTGTGCCGGCGTCTCCCCTGTCACATAATCACTCCCAACATTCTTAAGGGAGACCTTGAGAGTGTCCTTGTATCGCTTCTTCTGACCACTGTGTGAACGCTTGCCCTGTGTGAGTTCTCCGTGAAAGTCTTTTTGACAAGCGAACATTTTACATTCGAACGGTGTGGCCAGTCCATCGGAGTTGTGCTCTCTGAAGCTGAGTCTGGATGCTGGGCAGGTCATCGTGAGAGAGGGCCTCAGTGCCTGGTACCTCATCCTGCCAAGTGGTCTTCCGAATCTTCCTAAGACAATCCAAATGGAAGCGATGCAGTTTCCTGGCCTGGCACTGGTAGGCTGTCCAGGTTTCACAGGCATACAGCAATGAGGTTTCACAGTGGCTCTGTAGACCTTCAGTGGTAGTCAGTCTAAGGGCTATGTATATATATATACATACATACATATATAACTTCTACAAGTTAGTTTCAAAATTGTCCTGCCTATTTCCTTCTGAGTTCAGTACAATTCCATAATCATTTATGTGTCAGACACTGTATTAGGTTCTGGGCAGTCCCTGCCCATACGATTTAAAGGGGGAAGACTGCAGCAGAGGAGGCTGGAAGGGGAGGGTCCTGGGAGGGGGCCAGGTCCAGCAGCAGAGCTGCAGATGTGGCCTGCAGTAAGCAGCAATGCCCAGG